GCCTGAACAGAAACAACTGAAGATCAAGTGTAAAAGTCCATCCTTAGTAATTACATTTCTATACTGTACATGGAGCGACACATCGCAGAAAGCACCGTTCGTGCCATCAGCAAGAAAGAAAAACTTATCCGATGGCGCAACTTTTTTTTTAAATTATTTTTTGTGGATGTTGTCTTTTAGGAGCATATGGTGATGATAAAATAGATCAACATCAAGCTACAGAAAGCAATCTATAAAACCTTCATTGTCTTGTGTTGGACAAGACAATGAAAAGTATTATATATATATAATATATAAATATATATATATAAATATAATATATATAAATATATATATATAAATATATATATATATAAATATATATATATAAATATATATAGTGCACAGTCTTTTTTGTCATAAACAGCTGAGAAGACAAAATTCCATTAGTGCTCATTGCTACAATGGTAAAGCAGCACAAGAACAGAAAAGTAAAAGACTTCCCTTGAAAAGTAAAAACTGCTCGATTCATGTAACTTTTTGGTTCCATGACAAGATATAGTTATACATATAAATATAAATATAGTTATCTATTCGTATATATGTATAAATATATAAATATATATATATATATATATAACTCTAGTATATTTCCTTAAAACCAGTCTCTGGGTTTTCCCTCACAGACTGTTACATATGTTATATTCTATGTTATATGTTATACAGTATTTAATAATGTTTGTTATATTGTATGTTATATTGTATGTTATATTGTATGTTATATTGTTTGTTATATTGTATGTTATATTGTTTGTTATATTCTTTGTTATACAGTATTTAATATTGTGTGATTGACTCAAACCTACAGACTCAGACTTTTCAAAGGGACAGTTTGTAAAAAGCATTGCTGTAGTGTGACTTTCCTCGACTCCTGTGACATGTTCAGATTATGGATTATGGATTATGGATTACAGAAGAAAAACCACCTGCTTTAGCTCAAAATTGTACAAACATATGTTTTTGTATCTGCTGTGGTACAATTTTTGTATATTGAATTTTGTGAAAAGAAAAGATGAAACCAGCTCAAATTTCACTTAAAAAACTGGCAACAAAATGATTCTTAAACTTTGACCATGTTTTCCGGGAACTCAGAGTAAAACAGATTAAAACAATTTCATACCGTCCCTTTAAGAGTCTGGTTTTTGTACAGATTTCATATTTTGTCTGGTTTCTGTTCTGGACCTGTGTGAGTTTGTGTGGTTTTTAATTTGATTCTTTTTTTAAAGGAAAAAGGTTTTGTTTTGAAGTATTTTCACTGACCAAATCCAACATGTTTTATTCTGAGCGTGACTGAAACAGCCGAGGGGCCCTCAGACTCAGGGTTTCTCAAAGATTGTGTGATTCATATTGTTTTGATTTTTATGTGATTAATCGTGTAACACTGCCCCGGGCTTGGTTTCTTCTTTGATCATGTTTTGGCTTTAGTTCCCTCTTCTCTTCCTCACTGTTGTGTGGTTTGGTCTGTTTTGCTGTGTCTGCAGTTACAGCCAGAGGAGTTATAGCCACTTATGCTAACATGCTACTGTGTTTAGCAGCGCTGTAGAGGCTAGAGGAGGCGTGGCCTAGAGGACGCAGCCTCGTTCTGTGATTGGAGGAGAGCAGGCGTCACGCTAAGTCTCTACTCAGCACTTTTTACAGCCTGAATTCATACACAGCTGAATCAATGAGCTCAAGTTTTACATTCAATTATTAATACAACTTGTGTGTAGTATTAAGCATTTTTATGAACTCGTTAGAAAATAAATTGGGTACAGCTTCTTTAATCATTCTGCTCCTACAGCCTTCATTTAATTATACCAAATGTTTCCAAATCATTACCATCAAATACCCAAATTCAGATAAATACTACTCATGTTAAACTGAGGGTCAATGATTATAACATTTGTTGCTTTACTTTTTCACGTCCTCACATTTCTGTTGGAACAGTTGTGCTTTTAACGTTATCCATATTTTTTTTATTAAATGTCAATCAGCTGTTCGATTTTCTCTTCAATTGTCAATTCTAAAATCATTCCATCTCTGGCTGGATGTGGTTTCTCGGTTCTGTCCTCAGTCGTGCAAACTCCCTCTGAGTTTATATTTTGGAAAATGTGTAGATACATATGTACTTACTATGTTATATTACTTTGATCTGTAGATGCATGCACATTATAATTATTGATATGTCTTTTCATAATAAAATAAGTACTTTAGCATACATTATTTAGATTGATAAAAGTATTTTTTTAGAGTAACTGTCTATACGCGCCACAGTTTTTCGGTTGTATCATGTTTGTTCATGGGGGCGACAGTAGCTCAGTTGGTAGAGCATTGGCCTTTAAGCCTGAAGGTCGTGGGTTCGAGCCCACTGTAAGACCTACTTCACGACTCCCACTGATGACTGCTGTCGTTGTGTCCTTGGGCAAGACACTTAACTCCACTTTGCCTGAAGCTCCCACTGAAAGATCTCAGCTCCTGTGGACTCAGCACCTGCAGCAGGATCAGTGAGGGGCTGGTGCTATATGTACTGGGTGGCATCTCTGGCCACCCCCCCGACCCAGAAATGGATTAAGGGGAAGAAAATGGATGGATGGATGGATGGATATTTTTCTTCATGGAGCAAAGAGAGCCCTCACAGAACCAGCAGCTGCACCCATCCAGTCCCATAGTCTACCTTTCAGCACATTTCACATAATACTTGGTCTTCATCAGCTTTCCCCTTATCCATGTATAAGCTGTATATGTGTTAGAAAAGGCTTCTGTGGCTCTACTGTTGTCTCTGGGATGAGACTGATGCAGTATCATGTCCGTTATAATTGTGTCTACTTATTTGCTTTAGTTAAGAGTGATAGTGGATGGCATTAAGGATGTGACTACTGTATTTTAAACACCTTTATCATGTCCATCACCACCATAAAGCAGCTGGTTTTCTTAGCACCGTAGCTCTGCTGGAATGATATTTTTGGCAACTTATGAAAATATAATTTCAGACTAGTGTCCTGCAGCACCAGAATCAATCACTATTTGACTATTCACTTTATTAAGCACCATGTATGGACTTTTGGCGTAACTTTGGAGACACTCTTCAAATTACTATAACTAATATCTTTCCAGCTAATGGGTTCTTCCAGACAATAGTAAGTACGTGCTGTGCTGCTTTACTATTGTAGCATTTATGGTGCAGGGTTCAAAGAACTTGAGGTGAATACATTTCTTGCTTTGCACGTTCCTGTAGACCAGAGAAACAGTGATCGCTCTGTATGCAGTTATATTTAGTTGGCACAATTTAACTTCAGTAAAACTACACTTTGTAATCTCAGAGCTGATTTTCTAAAGGCCTGTTTCCACCTGGATGATGGTGTTTAATCTTTTCTTTTGTTATATTAGTGGCAACTGTGAGCGCTGGTGTATACAATCTGGAGCACGCACGGGTAGTCTTACAGAGTTTTTCTACTGTGGTTTTACTGCAAATGGCAAATAAATTCTTGAATCTTGAAGTGGGGCTTTTTATTTAGAAATGTGCCAATTTTGGTTTTACCCTCCGTGTATGTGAAGTTTGTAAACGCAGAAGTTTGTGACAGAAAATAGACAGCTACAACCTATTTGACACTTGTCTGAGAAAAACAGGTACCCCAGCTTTAAAAATAAAATGGAAAATACACAAGTCAGGCGATCAATAGAATCAGTAAGGCTAAAGAAAAGGTGTTTGTATCCAATGGCACACACTCCGCTGTCACACAGTACTTACAGTGTACTTTTTTGGCATTTTGCTAGTCTATAGTATTCTGAGAACAATGAATGACAGAGACCACCGTAGAAACAATTTTTCCTCCAGTGCAAATCACGTTCCATCAGATAATTCGCACGAAAGTCCTAAAATATGATTATTATCAGATCATTCACCGATACAACTGTGTGTATTCGCAACAATATCTATAATTGAAAATGATCACACATAAGGGTTGTGAAGAATAGAAGGAATTGTTCTAATAGTAATATGTGTTTGTGAGGCCCGCTTTTACCAGCTGTTAGGGGAAGGGGACATGAATGTGGTAAATCCAAATGTAATTTATTCCTTGCGAAAAGGGTGACATGTAAGATAAGACAGTTGAGGATCTATTAGGAACAAAGGTCTGAAGAGAAATTCCTCTGCAGCACATACAGCTCTCACACACGGGGGTCTACAACAGGACATCTCTGAGCTTTGTGGAACAGTCTGAATATTTTGTTGATAAATAAACAGTGATGGCTGTGAGCAGTGCTGTTGTAGATCACAGTATTCCTGTACGTGATCACCCTAGTCTTTGAGTAACATGACAGGGTTTATGTCATCTCTCCCAGAGGGGGATCATGGAGCTGCACACTAAAACATAAAACCTAAAAGTTATATCAATAATTCTGCTCTTAAAAATAGTTTAAGACAAGAAAAGATTTGTGGATCACAAAAACAAGTTTGCAGTATTATAAAAACAGTGGCAGTGTATGAATATGAATTCTTATGAATCCTTCATATTCCAGTTTTTTTGGGACTTTCAAAGTACCAAACACTGAGAGTCACTCTGCTTAGGATCTCACCTACATTTTCAAAGCCTTTCTCGATTGGAGGATTGCAAAGTTGCATCAATAAAAATAATGTTGAAGTTGAGTGTAGAAGATGATTTTGCACTGGAGTAAAATTGGGATTGGAATCCATAATTGAAATCAAATTGACTTGTTATAATCAAGAATATCTAGTATCTAGAATAATAGGTGAAGATAGATTCTTCTGAAATAGTTTCATATATGCGTCGCTAAAAAGTGTTCATAGCAGGCTTATTTCTTTTTACATGGTAAATGGCACATTAAAAAAATGAAATTAGCAAAGCTTTAAAGAATCTATAATTCTATATTTATTCTGAAAGGTTGAATTTAGTGCTTCATCCCTCAGGAAGATGTTTGTTTGAAACGGACACATTTCTGTTCCTGACCAGGGTGAGATGGTCTTAGAGCAGAGCGGCGTGGTCAGGGTCTATGTGATCCATACAGGCCAGGATGGATTTCTGGTCCTCATGCTGTGGCCGGCGGTAAAGCAGGGCAGAGAAGCGTGTGTACGGGTCAGAAAGGAGGGGCCGTTTCTTTTTCTTCCGGAGGTAGAGAGCTTCTTCGGGCTGGAGTACCTGAGAGGTGTAGGCCTGATGGGTCTGAGAGGTGGAAACACCTGGACAAGCAGAGACAACATGTCAGTATATGACACCAGGAAGACCAGCAATCACTGTGGAAGCTATTGGGGATCCAAATTAATAAGATCCATACTTCATTTATCCCCTGAAGGAGGAATTCAGTAAGTAGTAGTACAGTGCCTTGCGAAAGTATTCGGCCCCCTTGAACCTTTCAATATTTCGCCACATTTCAGGCTTCAAACATAAAGATATAACATTTAATTTTTTGTCATGAATCAACAAGTGGGACACAATCGTGAAGTGGAACGAAATTTATTGGATAATTTAAACTTTTTCAACAAATAAAAAACTGAAAAGTGGGGCGTGCAATATTATTTGGCCCCTTTACTTTCAGTCAATCAATCAATCAATCAACGTTTATTTGTAGAGCGCCTTTCAACACAAGGCAACGCAAAGCGCTTCACATCCCCTATCACATCATGCATAAATCAAACACATTAAGAGCACAAGATATATTAAAAACATTAAAAATAAAATCACAAAAATTAGCAGTGCAGCAAACTCACTCCAGAAGTTCAGTGAGGATCTTTGAATGATCCAATGTTGTCCTAAATGACTGATGATGATAAATAGAATGCTCCTGTGTGTAATCAAGTCTCCGTATAAATGCACCTGCTCTTTGATAGTCTCAGGGTTCTGTTTAAAGTAAGTAAGTAAGTAAGTTTTTATTTATATACCGCCTTTTCACTGCAGATCTGAGTCTCAAAGCGGTTTACAATTGTTAATTTTGGGCATTTGTCTCTCACTCCACACAGAGATGGGAGCGGGGTCGCCAGTACAGGAAGCGCATGCCAGAACTATTGGACATATTTTTAGTGGTAGGGGAAACCGGAGTACCCGGAGGAAACCTACGCAGACACGGGGAGAACATGCAAACTCCACTCAGAAAGGCCCTGGTCCGACCGGGATTCGAACCCAGGACCTTCTTGCTGAGAGGCAAGAGTGCTATCCACTCAGCCACCGTGCCGCCCCACAGCACAGAGAGAACCATGAAGACAAAGGAACACACCAGGCAGGTCCTAGATACTGTTGTGGAGAAGTTTAAAGCCGGATTTAGATATAAAAGATTTCCCAAGCTTTAAACATCTCAAAGAGCACTGTGCAAGCAATTATATTGAAATGGAAAGAGTTTCAGACCACTGCAAATCTACCAAGACCCGGCCGTCCCTCCAAACTTTCATCTCAAACAAGGAGAAGACTGATCAGAGATGCAGCCAAGAGGCCCATGATCACTCTGGATGAACTGTAGATAACTACAGCTGAGGTGGGGATGGTGTGTTCAGGGTGATGAGCTGTGTTGCTTTAACGCCAAACATATCGTTTTGCATTGTGGCCAAAAAGTTTGATTTTGGTTTCATCTGACCAGAGCACCTTCTTCCACATGTTTGGTGTGTCTCCCAGGTGGCTAGTGGCAAACTTTAAACGAGACTTTTTATGGATATCTTTGAGAAATGGATTTCTTCTTGCCACTCTTCCATAAAGGCCAGATTTGTGCAGTGCACGACTGACTCTCCCACCTCAGCTGTAGTTATCTGCAGTTCATCCAGAGTGATCATGGGCCTCTTGGCTGCATCTCTGATCAGTCTTCTTGTTTGAGATGAAAGTTTGGAGGGACGGCCGGGTCTTGGTAGATTTGCAGTGGTCTGATACTCCTTCCATTTCAATATAATTGCTTGCACAGTGCTCCTTGAGATGTTTAAAGCTTGGGAAATCTTTTTGTATCCAAATCCGGCTTTAAACTTCTCCACAACAGTATCTCGGACCTGCCTGGTGTGTTCCTTTGTCTTCATGGTTCTCTCTGCGCTTTAAACAGAACCCTGAGACTAGAGCAGGTGCATTTATACGGAGACTTGATTACACACAGGTGCATTCTATTTATCATCATCAGTCATTTAGGACAACATTGGATCATTCAAAGAGCCTCACTGAACTTCTGGAGTGAGTTTGCTGCACTGAAAGTAAAGGAGCCCAATAATATTGTACGCCCCACTTTTCAGTTTTTTATTTGTTAAAAAGGTTTAAATTATCCAATAAATTTCGTTCCACTTCACGATTGTGTCCCACTTGTTGATTCATGACAAAAAAATTAAATTTTACATCTTTATGTTTGAAGCCTGAAATGTGGCGAAATATTGAAAGGTTGAAGGGGGCCGAATACTTTCGCAAGGCACTGTAGTTAGTGGCCTTTGAGCCAGAAGGTCATGGGTTCACCATCGACTCCCACTGTCGTTGTGTCCTTGGCACTTAACCTCTGGGAACACCAGGTGCCACAGTGGGGCAGCTGTAATGTGGCTGTAAAGTGCCAAACTGCCGTTGTGTCCTTAGGCAAGACACTTCACCCCCATTGCCTCACCCCCATTGCCTAGAATGAGTCTGGTGTGTGTGTGTGAATGGTTGGTGGTGGTGGGAGGGGCCGATGGCACAGACTGGTTGCCTCGTTTCTGTCAGTGTGCCCCAGGGCGGCTGTGGCTACAGTAGTAGTTTATCACCACCGTATTTGGAGAGAATGAATAATGACATGTGAAGAGACTTTGAGTGTCTAAAAAAGCGCTTTATAAAACCGATGCATTATTATTATTATTAAGCATTATTTATTTATATAGCGCCTTCACAGCCCAGAGTCACAAAGCGCTTTACAATTCTTTTTGTGTTTTTTTAAGCATTTTGCGAGGTCGCCAGTACAGGAGGCTGCTGGGTGGAGCAGGACAGGTTACAGCAGCAGAGGTGGACCATCCGCTGGGTGGAACAGGGTGGGTCAGTGTTTTTCAACCACTGTGCCACGGCACACTAGTATGATATTGTCTGGTGTGCCGAGAGAAATTCGTCTACTTTGTCTAAAAATAACTGTATCCACCGTTGGCGAGCGCTGACTTTTTTATATCAGTAAGTGGCAGCAGATAGCTAATCACTTTGATACATAAGAATTGGACGTGAGCAACAAATGTAGCAGGTAACGAGGAGCGTCTTTGAAAATTAATTACGCCTTTTCCTAACAGGATTCACATCCTCCGCTCTGACCCCGGGGCAGCTGTGGCCGCTTTGTACTGACAGCCGCTTTGACAACAGCTCAGCGAACGCACATGCGTAACGTGGTACCGAGCACCGACCATAGACGCGTGGACAGAACCATAGACGCGCAGACAGAACCATAGACGCGCAGACAGAACCATAGACGCGCAGACAGAACCATAGACGCGCAGACAGAACCATAGACGCGCAGACAGAACCATAGACGCGCAGACAGAACCATAGACGCGCAGACAGAACCACCGTGTCTCTCCAGTGTCTCCTCCAGACTGTAAATATTAAGTCTCATCCCGAAGCGCAACCAAAACTCCCAAATTTTCCCCATGCATTAACAATTAATGTTATTTGTGCACAAAGATCACAATATTCAAACCCTCTGGTCATCGTGTTGTTGGAAACACCTGTCTAAAGTTTCAGACTTCTAAGTTTTATAGTTTTTATGCAGTTTCTCTTTTTCATCAAGTAGTACCATTTGGAACCAATTTGCACACTTTGTGCCAAATTGTGCCAAATTGCTTTACTGACATTTCATCATCATAAAAACCATATTTTTTATTATGAATTACTAATCTGTTTGATGTTTTCAAAATGTTCTCAAAGTTGATATTTTAGTAGTGTAAATGCATATAAAATATGCTCCGAACAGCGTGTCTCTCCCGGTCTTTACGAACGCTTCTAGAGGCAGACTTCAACAGAGTTCCCCCATGTCCCGCCCATTGCTAGAAAGCTTTCCTTATTGGCTACACGGACATGTCAATCATTTGGCAAAAGAACACTTCCTTAGCCGCCTGGCTAACAACAAATACAGACAGACCATGTGCGAAAGGCAGCCGCTTGCTTTATTCCCGGGGGTGTTGCAGACGAACTCGAGCACGTTTCTCTTCAGGGAAGGTCTCATTTTGTAGCTAACACTGAAACTCCGCAAACGGTAAAGAGCAGCGTCTGTGTTCATTCAGAACGTTTTTTTCGTAAAATTTTTGGATCATTACTCCAGAATGGATTATACTTTGGAAAATACAAGCGGATATTCTTTTTCCATGGACATTTACGGAGGGAAAGAGCCATAGAAAGCCGGGAGGAGATCTGATTTATTTATGGAGCACAAGAGAAAATAAGCTTTAAAATGATATACAGATTTTGGGGTTTGGTGTTAAAAATACGTCTGCTATTTCCAGCAGAACATTTTAAACATAAAAATCACTCATTTGATTTATTAAGTTTTTTTATTTTTCATATAAATATTGTTGAAATATTAAAATCTAGATTTTAATTTTTAACGTTATTATAACCTTCTGATGCTATATGAAGATTTGGAACAGACAAGTGATTTTCATCATGTTGCTTAAGAAAACGCAATTTTACTCAAATTGATCAAAATAGATTTATAGCGTTTTGGAACCAAACTCACAGATTGGAATCTTCAAACAATAGAGTATGTTTTAATTAGTTTATTTGTATTATCATAATACACATGATGTGTATTATGATAATACAAATAAACTAATTAAAAAATAAAAACATTCTCCATTGGTTAGAAGATGCTAATCTGTGAGCTTTCTGTAAAGCTATAAATAGCCACACCTGTTTTTTTTCTCAGCTTGGAGTTATTGTTGTTCATGGTCATCTTCTTGGCCTTTTTCATCCGTTGGTATATCAGTGCATCCATCCTCTCAGACCCTGATAGGGCGCTCATTGCACCTCGGCGTTTTCTGTGTGGAGAGCACACGAGAGCACAGATAACTTGAGGCCCTGCACTGTAGAGTTTGTGACTCCACACCACACAGCACGGCTCATGACAAGCAAGAGGTGCAGCAAAGTCCTAAAAAGCAAATATTCACAGACACTTGCAACACATTATAACTGCCCTATGAATACTTTTCTAATAGATGCACAGAATCTCACTCTTCCCACTCTTACTCTCAGATGATATTTAACACAATCACACTGGTTCGTTCATGGCATAGAAACCATTAATGCTCTCGGCGTGGCTGCAGAGAGAAAGGTTGTTAGTAGGGGTAACCACAGCTCAGCAACAAAGCATTGTCAATATGTATTCATAGACATGGATACTGTCTACAATGGGCTTCACCATGCTGACAGGGGGAGAGATGGCGGGAGGGGAGATGACTACTCAGGAACAGTCACATTATGGAAAATAAGCCAAAGGAAAGCGAAGCACTAAAACAACAACTGTAACAAGGATTATCCAGATATTTGTTTGTATTTTGTTGTTGGAACGGAGCAATATTTAGCAATGGCATGCATGGCAGTTTGCACATGGAACACAACTTTAAAGGGGAATACATTGCAAAGCTGTTCTTTGGGCAGTTCTTTCCTATAAACCGTACTGTGGGAGTCTCCATTTCTTTATACTACTAAGACAGGCAGAAAATATCTTAGCTCTGACAAATGTTCTGTTTTGTTACAACTGTTGCTCTTGTAGTCTCCAATACAGTGGGCTTGCCATGCTATACCATAGATACATGATTTTAACTTACATTTAAACTGGAACATATGGTCCCTGTGGACCCATAGTCATAAAACCCATAGTTATATTACCAACTTTACTGGGATGTAATTGCTATTGTATACAATCTGATTTCATCAAAAATATTACCAAAAATTATGTCTTTTGAACTTATGCTTTAGAAACAGTTTATGGAATGGACTGCAAAAACAATACATGGCAGTTGAGGACAGTTTCTACATAAGGTAAATATATTAAAATATATGTACAGTTTCTTCAAGATACCTGACATATACAGTAACTACCTTAATTTGGGTATTTCGGCAAATGCAACAGTAAGATGCTCAAGATGCAAATGTGGTTCATTACTGAACCACTAAAGCGTGAGTTAAGTTTGTGTTACATATCTGACCTGTGTGGATGCATAACATGGAAATGCTTTGGTCAGAATGCACACAGTACAGAGGGCTGCAGAACTGAAAAAGCATAGGCTCTTTGACAAACACAAAAGGATAAAACTTAAACTGTGGAAGGAACACATGTAGTAAGACTGATAGTCTTGTATTCCCCTTTAAAGGATGTGATGAGATCAAAAGTCCCACCTGCTAACCCCCCCCCTTTCAGACATGGATCCAACCCTTACCTATTGTGGTGTAGAGGACCTGGTCACAACAACGCTGCCCAGGTAGCTGAGATCAATCAAAAACAAAGCAGATAAGACTCCAGGAGTCAAGGACCACCACTCCGCCCCTAATTCATAAAGATGAAACATTGCAGTACATGAGAAGCTGACAGGCCCTGTGACACACTTAACCTTTGGAAGTCAGACCTGGGGTGTTCCTAGGGCAAATTGAAGGGTTACCACAGGCAAGAAGGGAAGGAAGATCTGAAAGGGTAAAAGCTAGTAGGGACAATTGTTAAATGCTGAGGTTACTAAGGTAGAGCATGGGCCGCAGGGCCTGCCAAGATGAGCTCTTTTGAAGCATCCTGCATGATGGAGGGAGGAATCTACCAAAGCATAGAGATAACTTATAACATTGGCTCTTTTTTTCTTATGTGGGATTGTTTCACAGTGAAAACAGAACACATGATGAAATGGAAATAAGCTTGTGGTGAGGTTTTTTCATTCCCAGGCATTTAGTGGCTTGAGCCACTGAATACCTATCTGTGAAGCCATGTCAAATTCCTGATAGAAATAAATACATACATGCATTATGTAGCTTAAGTTTTTTTCGACTAAGCTCCACAGATGGAATGATCGAATGATGTTACCTAGGATTTTCATATGTAAAGTTGCACCAGTCTAAAAAAAACATGGACATTTGGAGGGATAGGTAAGCACAATTATTCTTCAGTATTTCACCTGAAATGAAAATAAGACGCTGAAAACGTAATGGTTATGCAATGAATATATTAGAAGCCACTCAACACATGAAAGCTCATGACGTTGGGCAAATCCTCTGGGAATGCCTACTGCACCTACCCTGAATTGGACAACTGGGGTGGAGAGGACTCTGATGGAAGTATCTCTCCGTCAGTCCTCCTCTGGGATGATAATGGCCCAAATATAATGCTGCTTTCCAAAGGAGGAGATGGGGACTGGGAGGCTGGGTAGCTAGCAGCAGAGGTGGCAAAAGCCAGATGCGAGCGATAGCTGGGACTGGCTCTCCTACCCCCCTGGCCTAGGGCAGGTGAGGAGGAGGGGGAAGATCTTCTTGAGAAGCTGGCTGTGGAAGGAGGGAGGAGGGTAATCTCAGTCATCTCCGGAGGTATAGCTGGTTGCACAAAGTTGGGACGCGGTCTTGGACGGACTACAATCTCAGGGGAACCTTGGTGAGAACTAAAAGGACTTTGGGTGAGGGGTGAGAGTCGAGAAGGTTGAAGAACAACCTGATGTAAGCCAGTGTCCACCCTACGAGCCTGTCTGGGACTGAATCGAGGACTCGTATCAAACCATCGTGTGTCCAGGCTACTAAAAGAGCTAGGTACAATGTGGGCCATTGGATCGGTGTAAGGCAAGCCTGGCATGCCTATAGTGTGGCTTGTGTGTCTTAGCTGCCCTAAAGGTGCCTCTTGCATACCTAAATGCTTAGCTGGGGAGCCATGAGGCTTAGCTTTGTTTGGAGGCTTGCTTGGGTGGCTCTTTGGGGGTGCCAGTGGCAGGACAGATGGGTAAGTTGGCATTGGGAGATTAGACGGTTGAAAAGCACTAAGAGGAAGAACATGAGGTGGGGGATGATACAGGGAGTCAGGACGTAGGTGCAAGGGGTGATGTGGGGGAAAGATAAACTGTGGCCCCTCAAGACTGGCAAAAGTAAAATCCAGTCCCTGCCAAATCTCTGGTGTACAGGACGTAGAGGACAGTGTCAGAGGAAGGGGGAAACCGGAGACAGTATATTGAGGAAGCTCACCCTCTCCCATCTCCTCAGGAATCATATGGTGACCAAATGGTCCCTCAGCCAGGTATGGAGGGGAGGAAATGACAGAGCTAAGAGGGCTGGTGTCAGGCATATAAAAAGGAGGTGGCGGCTCATGATCCCCTGGAGGGCCTAGATAGCCATAGAAAGCCCTGTGGTGGTGAAGAGAACCTCGGATCTGCCCTGTAGCCTGTAGACGACTGCTCTCCATGATAGTCATACCTTCGTAGGGCCTGTGGAAGCGAGGACTATAGGCTGGAGGCTGCAGGTAGGACTCCTGACTAGAGATAGGGGAGATCTGGTGAGGCCGTAAAGTGGCCATAGCGGGAGGCAAAGGCCTTGGGTCATCATTCTCTTCATCTGACTGCCGGAATTCAGGATAAAGGTCAGATTCTTCCACAAAAGGGAATCCTTCAATGCGTCGTGGTTTAATGGACATTTCCATATCGGTTGGATCAATTACAAACCGACCGTCTGGACCTCGACTTATGAGCTCAATTGGTGTGATAGCTTCGGGGTCATGCTTCAGGCCGTACTTTTTGCTTGTTATTGCTCTTTTGGTCTTCTTGTACAAAGACAACTCTTCTTTCCTCCCTGGGCTCGAGGATGGCTTCATGCCACACGGGTCATGACTGTCTTCAGATGTTTCCGATAGTGATGCCTTGGAGCGAATGCTTTCTGGGCTCACCTTCCCTGATGATGACCTAGGAAGAAAGAAACACAAAAATGAATATGGCTATAAAAAGTGGTTTGTAATAAAAGACAAGACGAAAAAAAGACCGTGAGGAAATCCAATCAGAAGAAGGGATAGATAAGGCAAATGAGAAAACAACCAATGGACTGGCTGGATGCGAGGAGGACCAACGAAGGCTTGACTTAGTAAGCACCGGTGCCGCCAGCTGTGAACAGAAGCTATTACTAACGCTAACCACAACACCACTCGAGTAAGCTTGTAAAGTATCCATCAGTGATGAAAAGAACAAGAACAAAGTTAAATCAGATGATTAAAATTGTGACTAAAACTAAAAATAATTTTAGTCAAAAGAGTATTGCGTGGCGATCGGGGGCGGTGCCAATGGAGTGGCAGACTGGGGTGGTGGTCCCTCTCTACAAGAAGGGGGACCGGAGAGTGTATTCCAACTATCGTGGGATCATACTCTTCAGCCTCCCCAGAGGCAAAAGCAAAGGCAGCTCACTCTGCTTCTACATTTACACTAACTGGTGTAGTGATGTGACAGCGATCTCCAAGCACTGTTCTCCTGCTCTGGAATATCTTTTCATTCACTGCAAGCCGTTCTTCTCCCCACGTGAGTTCGTTTCATTCATTCTCGCCTCTGTTTACATACCGCCATCCGCGGATGCACGCAAGGCTCAGCGCGTACTCGCAGACCAAGGTCTGTGTATGGAACGTTTATACCCGGGTTTGTATCATTTAGAATTGAAGTTTGAATACCATTTTATATTAGAATAGAACTACTAAAGGTTTAAAAATCCATTGGTTTTTTTTGTCTGATTTCCCCCAAATTGAGAAAAGACCTTAGAAACGTCCTTAGAAAAAATAAAACAATCCGGCGCTTCTCCCTCAGTGACGTGACGACGAACACCGTCTGATCCGGAAGTACATCTCCTCCATTCTATCGCTCGTTTACATTTTGTTTTGTCTATTTTTTGCACTAAATCGGTGGATATTTGAGATGACAAGAAGATGTGTTGCAATGCACTGCTCACAGACGCACAATAGGCTTCAGACCAAAGGAAAAGAGGAGGCTTTCGACAGTAGAGGAAGAAGAAGAAAAAAGAGGAAGAAAGCTAAGCTGGCTAAGCTACATGTGTTTGAGAGGAGGAGGATGGACTTGATCTCAGCCTCGGTGAGAACGGCCAACGGACTTCAATGAGTTGCAGAACTATGGGACCCTGTTTTATTCACAACTAAGTCCCTCTCACGGAGACTTTGCCTTCAGTGGAACCGCTGCAGCGGCGCTAGGACTGAGACCGCTGCAGCTGCGCTAGGACTGAGACCGCTGCAGCTGCGCTAGGACTGAGACCGCTGCAGCTGCGCTAGGACTGAGACCGCTGCAGCGGCGCTAGGACTGAGACCGCTGCAGCTGCGCTAGGACTGAGACCGCTGCAGCGGCGCTAGGACTGAGACCGCTGCAGCGGCGTTAGGACTGAGACCGCTGCAGCGGCGTTAGGACTGAGACCGCTGCAGCTGCGCTAGGACTGAGACCGCTGCAGCGGCGTTAGGACTGAGACCGCTGCAGCGAGCGGCGCTAGGACTGAGACCGCTGCAGTGAGCGGCGCTAGGACTGAGACCGCTGCAGCGGCGTTAGGACTGAGACCGCTGCAGCGAGCGGCGCTAGGACTGAGACCGCTGCAGTGAGCGGCGCTAGGACTGAGACCGCTGCAGCGGCGCTAGGACTGAGACCGCTGCAGCGGCGTTAGGACTGAGACCGCTGCAGCGGCGTTAGGACTGAGACCGCTGCAGCGGCGTTAGGACTGAGACCGCTGCAGCGAGCGGCGCTAGGACTGAGACTGCTGCAGCGGCGTTAGGACTGAGACCGCTGCAGCGGCGCTAGGACTGAGACCGCTGCAGCGGCGCTAGGACTGAGACCGCTGCAGTGAGCGGCGCTAGGACTGAGACTGCTGCAGCGGCGTTAGGACTGAGACCGCTGCAGCGGCGTTAGGACTGAGACCGCTGCAGCGAGCGGCGCTAGGACTGAGACTGCTGCAGCGGCGTTAGGACTGAGACCGCTGCAGCGGCGCTAGGACTGAGACCGCTGCAGCGGCGCTAGGACTGAGACCGCTGCAGTGAGCGGCGCTAGGACTGAGACTGCTGCAGCGGCGTTAGGACTGAGACCGCTGCAGCGGCGTTAGGACTGAGACCGCTGCAGCGAGCGGCGCTCTTCCTCTGCTGTCGAGAATTGAGGTGAAGTTGTGTCCGTAGTCAGTCCGTTGTTGTTGACGTTTTTTGTCGTTGTTCTAATGGCGTTTGGACGGCACTTTTCACACTCACGGGCTCTGACAAATAGTTAATCATTCTTTTCCTATTTATTCCCGGTATAAGAGGCGTGTTTGTGTGTTTGTGCCGATCTGCATCAAGTTTCTTTCTAAACGCCTCAGGTCCTTTTCCGGGTCTGTGTTTGACTCTCCTCTTTATCCGAGGAAGCATCAGGCTCAAACATGTGGCTAAAGGTGTAAGACTTCTTCTTGTAACTGGCTTTGCTCTTCATCAGTCGATACTCGGTTCATAGACGAGGTTTTTCGCGTGTTTCTCGTTTACTGTCAGAATCACTGTACATTCTGAATGAGCCTGTACCTCCGAGTGTGAAGCTGAGACAACGCAAACGTATTAACAACATATTTTTTCAACAAAATAGAGGATATTTTTTGCTGGAATCTATTTCAGATTGGCACATACTGTAGTTTGTGTCGGTGTCTGCTAATATTTTTTTTGTCCTCGTATTATTGTGTGTCCAGACTTACGGTGGTTCTTCCTTCCTTCTGGCTTCCCTCTCTTACCTGATATATTGATTTTGGATAATTTTGCCGTTTTTAAAATCCCTGTCCCCTATGTACTCTTCTATGGGGATTCTGCTCGGGGTTGTGGCAAGATTTAGCATTTATTTTATTTTTAGTAGATTGCAAACCCATTTTTCTTTCTATTTAAACTGTCTCATTCTTGCTCTTTCCTGTTTGGGTCGCTCAGCTTTTCAAGTTTTATTTTCTCAAATTCCTGTTTGTATGCTTGTTTCAAGTGACTATTGATGTGTGTAATGTAGGCTCTAAAGCAAAGTTTCTACCAAAATCCTCTGTTCTTTTGTAGCAGTTGCTCGATGCGTTTGTTCCCGTTGATTGTGTCTCTAATCCTTTCCTCTAATAGTGCTTTCTTGGCCTTATTGATTATTTGTTGCGCATTGTGGGCTGGAATCAGTGTTTGGATGTTAAGGCTGGCTGGAGTGATGTCTTCGTCCTGCATCAGAGGTTGAAACGCAGATGATTTTTAGGTGGGCTAAAATCTTCGACACATTTTTTGTCCAAATGTTCCTTGTAATGCATGGAGGAATCCTCAAATCAGCCATTTCAGATCACTGCAAGAGAAACAACCACATTATGGACTGAGACGTGGCGCGGGTCATCGGATCTGAAAAGAACAACTGGATCAAGGAGGCCATTGAAATCAGAAAGCGGGGAAACACCCTCCTCCAGAGACCATTGGGGGAGAGGGGCGTGGTCCTTGACTGGGTCTGGCTCATTCTTCACATGATTTATTGCTCCGTGGATGGAGTGATATCACAGTCCTGTTCTCCATTTGCCCCCCTCGGAGAATCTTGCATTTATTATCTCAATGTTGACCTCCTAGTTGTTGGTCCTTGGCCAGTGCAAGTTTGTGGACATGCATAGAATATCTTCTGTGCCATGTTTTTTGTTCTTCAGAATAAAAAAAATCTGTTCAATTGTCACTATTAACATATTTGTACATATTTTGAGCTCGAGCTAGTTGCACACAGATGCATTCTGGTCACAGAAGAGACCCGTTTTCCATGTCTACCACTGACCTGTGATGCATGGTATGGCATTACTTCCTGTCCCTCGCAAGAAGGTTCTGCAGGAAGCGTGTCAGATGATACAGCCCTCCTATTGGTCATCCGGTACTCAGCGGTGTAACATACTTGGTATTATTACACAAACTGCACATGCACTCAAGGATTCGTTCACTGCTGTGCGCCATGCAGTCGTTTTGCAGCTGGACAACATTCCAATGAACCAGTGAATTTGTAATTATGCAAACAAACAAAAACATCCAAAGCATTTAGAAAGTTTTGATTTGAAGTAGATTGAAAACATACTTGCCGTTGAACCATATTAGTTTTTAATGTTTAACTTGAGTAAGTGATAAAAGAGGTACTTACGGAGTTTCCATGCTTTTTCTGCAGTGGGTTATGGAAAGAGGGGGATCTGAAAGAGTTTAACAATACATTTCTTCACTCTGGATCTTTGCACATTTTAAAGTTAAACCAATGCTTACCTCGTTTCCTCTTGAGCTTTCTTCGCCGTTGCTTATTGACAAAACATGCGGCCATGGTGCTGAAGAGAACAGCGGCAGCCAAGAAGCAGATGGTGGCAACTATCCCAGCCACCACGGGACGAGTCAGACCACTTTCTTCCACCATTTCTGGAGGTGGAAAAAAGTCTATGGGGCAGACCAGAGAACCAAGTCAGACAATACAGTGAATACTAGTCTGAATACAGTTTATGCAAATACCGGTGTAAAAAATAAGGATTAATTTGACAAAAAACATGTAATTCCACAGACATTCTTAATCTTCCCGGACTTGTGCATGTGTGGATACTGTCTGTGCGATACATGTTTATTTACAATAATCATAATAATGGACAATATGTGTGACTTTGAGGAGTGAACTAACAAAGTGTCTACATCACCCATGGTCAGGAATGGCGCAGGTCTGTTCCATAAATAGTATATCGATTGACATTGCTCACCTTCTAGCTCAGTGAAGCCCAATAGGGGAGTGGTCATGGATGATGTTTTGCTCTGACTTGCTCAATTTGACATACATTGAAAAATCTCACCAGGGGTCTCAAACCGGTTCCAGAAAGGGCCATGTGGCTGCAGGTTTTACTTCCAACAGTCCCAAACTGAGCAGGAGCACAGATGACTCCACCCATTTCCTCAAATCTTCAGGTTCAAACTGGACTCACCTGAGGAAATGGGTGGAGTCATCTGTGCTCCTGCTCAGTTTGGGACTGTTGGAAGTAAAACCTGCAGCCACATGGCCCTTTCTGGAACCGGTTTGAGACCCCTAATCTATGGTCTGTTCCTGCTTGTGATTACTCGTTATAAGACTTTTGAAGCAATACTGGTTAAACCTAAGCTTGTCATTCAAACACTATATAAGCCGGTGATTATCTGAAGGTCGAACTAGCAAAACTGTTGGCACCATCGAAGATCATGCAAGGAGGAGTGTCTATGGTCCAGTGTCTAGGATCCAGTTCTTTTGGATTTTAAAGCCCAATGCAGAAAGAGAGGGAGAAAGACTGTTTCCCGTTCACTGTTAAAAGTTTAATAATAATACATTTCATTTCTACTGCACCATAGATTCCCAGGAAACCTCAAAGTGCTACAGACTAGATTACAATACCACAAACAAACAAAATATGTTTTCATTCTCCAACAGATGATAGTACCATCAATTAAAAGTGTTTTGTATTCAATTCTAGGATCATGTCTTGAAATCATGGTGCAACCCTGAGCCAAGTGTCCGACCCTCACAATGGGAACCACTGCATTCAATCATAATCAGTGACGCTGCTAAACAAAACCACTCAGTTTAATTACAGCTCATAGCCCCACTCAGACAAGAAAAGCTAAAGTCTTCCTTGAAATTGCTAGCAACAGTTGCATTAACCAAATCATGTGTATTCTGACCTCTGCAGAACAACCACAGGAGCCTTGAGATCTAAGCAAAGAACTGACAAACCACTGAATTCAATGTATTTTAGCTCTGTTTTGAAGCTTTCATAGTAAAGAGCTTGCAAGATGGAAGCTGTAAAGGGATGCCTCACCTGTGCTGGACACTCCCACTATGTTACTCTGCTCGCTGATGGTATCGTCCATGACAGCCATTACACGGAACTCATACCACGCCTCCTACACACACACACACACACACACGCCTGTTATAGTTCACATACTGAGAAATGACTGATACTCACCTTCTCGGTCTGAAAAAGCTAATATAACTCAGGGGACCACACAACTCACGTGAAGAATAAACTATGCACCAGGTCACTCTCCACACTGGGTAACATAAAACACGCCTCCCATGCTCTGCCGTCAGACAAGAGCACAGCGGCAGCAATTATCTTTCCCGATGACGACAATTCGAGGTGTTTGACCCTGAAGAATCCTGGACCTGAGACCTTTTTACCTCATCGCTTTGAGAGGACACAACACTGTCTGACCGTGTCTTTGTCCACTAAACTAAATAGACATGTTCACATTGTCTGATAAATGATAGGAAAGAACAAAATGCTACAAGCAGGACTGAAAAACTTGTAATGCTATAGTCACTTTTAAATGTATCATACATTTTACAATTTTAACCTTTTAACATGTGTGCACACTTCCTGACTTTTTGCACACCTTGAGTGATTCTATTTATGCCAATTTCTCCATTGTGAGATCAATAAAATCTATCTTATCTTACAAATCTATTTAAAGATGTGACAGAGGCCAAACAACATGCATGTGAAAACTGTTAGGTGTATTACATAGCTGATTTAATGTGGTTTTAAAGTTAGGCAGTATGTGTAATCTGATGATGAAGGCTCCAGGACTTCACCTGAATGAGGTCCCGGGCCAGCAGCTCCGTTTCTCCTGCAGGAATGCTGTCGTCCAGAACCTCCCACTTCTCACCCAGACGGAACTCCATGACATAATGCTGAATAGGTGACGTGTGGTTGGCAGGTGGCATCCAGGAGAGCAGCACTCCCTGCTGCGTGCGATTGGCTGTGAGGCACCGTGGTGGGGTAAGCAGCACCAGGGGTTCAGGGGTACTTCTAGGAAATACTAGGACATCAGAAATACATTAGAGCAACAATTACCACATACACTCTGAGAATGTAGAAACCTGATTGTTTTTTTCAGCATTAAAATGATGATCCTGTCAGACCTCTGAAGCGGAGCAGGGTTTGGTTTGTACCTCTGGGAACACCGGATATGTTGTGTCCATTCACCCACTTATATCAGTCTGCCCCAGGGCAGCTGTGGCTACAGTAATAGCTTATCACCCCAAAAGAGCTATATAAAACTGATGCATTATTATCATTTTTTATCAACCAATTAGAAATAATTGGAAATCCTCCCAGGGGTGGCTTGGTTTACAGCTGCTTAAAGGTACCCTGTGTAATTTTTACAGTTGCTCCAAATGAACTAATAACAAGAAGAATATTAAGGACTATTTAACTTTTAAATTTAAGGCTTAGAATTTGACTTATAAATGTACATTAGAGCTGAGGACTATCCATGTCAAAGCGTCATCCTAAAACACACTGGTGGATAAGGAACAATTAGGATGCGAGAATCGTGTTTTCGTTTCACAGTGCTACTAATATTGTTGCTTTCACCGTGTCCTCACAAGTTTGAAGAAGGGCTCATGGAGGACCACAGATATGTAAAAGAACCACAGAGGACCACAGATATGTAAAACCACCACAGAGGACCACAGATATGAAGAAGAACCACAGAGGACCACAGATATGAAGAAGAACCACAAAGGACCACAGATATGTAAAAGAACCACAAAGGACCACAGATATGAAGAAGAACCACAGAGGACCACAGATATGAAGAAGAACCACAAAGGACCACAGATATGTAAAAGAACCACAAAGGACCACAGATATGAAGAAGAACCACAGAGGACCACAGATATGTAGAAGAACCACAGAGGACCACTGTTATGTAGAAGAACCACAGAGGACCACTGATATGTAAAAGAACCACAGAGGACCACAGATATGTAGAAGAACCACAGAGGACCACTGTTATGTAGAAGAACCACAGAGGACCACAGATATGTAGAAGAACCACAGAGGACCACAGATATGTAGAAGAACCACAGAGGACCACAGATATGTAGAAGAACCACAGAGGACCACTGATATGTAGAAGAACCACAGAGGACCACAGATATTTAGAAGAACCACAGAGGACCACAGATATGTAAAAGAACCACAGAGGACCACTGATATGTAAAAGAACCACAGAGGAACACAGATATGTAAAAGAACCACAGAGGACCACAGATATGTAGAAGAACCACAGAGGACCACAGATATGTAGAAGAACCACAGAGGACCACAGATATGTAGAAGAACCACAGAGGACCACAGATATGTAAAAGAACCACAGAGGACCACAGATATGTAAAAGAACCACAGAGGACCACAGATATGTAAAAGAACCACAGAGGACCACAGATATGTAGAAGAACCACAGAGGACCACAGATATGTAAAAGAACCACAGAGGACCACAGATATGTAAAAGAACCACAGAGGACCACAGAAATGTAAAAGAACCACAGAGGACCACAGATATGTAGAAGAACCACAGAGGACCACAGATATGTAGAAGAACCACAGAGGACCACAGATATGTAGAAGAACCACAGAGGACCACTGATATGTAGAAGAACCACAGAGGACCACAGATATGTAGAAGAACCACAGAGGACCACAGATATGTAAAAGAACCACAGAGGACCACAGAAATGTAAAAGAACCACAGAGGACCACAGATATGTAGAAGAACCACAGAGGACCACAGATATGTAGAAGAACCACAGAGGACCACAGATATGTAGAAGAACCACAGAGGACCACTGATATGTAAAAGAACCACAGAGGACCACAGATATGTAGAAGAACCACAGAGGACCACAGATATGTAGAAGAACCACAGAGGACCACAGATATGTAGAAGAACCACAGAGGACCACAGTTATGTAAAAGAACCACAGAGGACCACAGATATGTAAAAGAACCACAGAGGACCACAGATATGTAGAAGAACCACAGAGGACCACTGATATGTAAAAGAACCACAGAGGACCACTGATATGTAAAAGAACCACAGAGGACCACAGATATGTAGAAGAACCACAGAGGACCACTGATATGTAGAAGAACCACAGAGGACCACAGATATGTAGAAGAACCACAGAGGACCACAGATATGTAGAAGAACCACAGAGGACCACAGTTATATAAAAGAACCACAGAGGACCACAGATATGTAGAAGAACCACAGAGGACTACAGATATCTAGAAGAACCACAGAGGACTACTGATATGTAGAAGAACCACAGAGGACCACAGATATGTAGAAGAACCACAGAGGACCACAGTTATGTAGAAGAACCACAGAGGACCACAGATATCTAGAAGAACCACAGAGGACCACTGATATGTAGAAGAACCACAGAGGACCACAGATATGTAGAAGAACCACATAGGACCACAGTTATGTAGAAGAACCACAGAGGACCACAGATATGTAGAAGAACCACAGTTATGTAGAAGAACCACAGAGGACCACTGATATGTAGAAGAACCACAGAGGACCACAGGTATGTAGAAGAACCACAGAGGACCACAGTTATGTAAAAGAACCACAGAGGACCACAGGTATGTAGAAGAACCACAGAGGACCACAGTTATGTAAAAGAACCACAGAGGACCACAGATATGTAGAAGAACCACAGATATGTAGAAGAACCACAGAGGACCACTGATATGTAAAAGAACCACAGAGGACCACAGTTATGTAGAAGAACCACAGAGGACCACTGATATGTAAAAGAACCACAGAGGACCACTGATATGTAGAAGAACCACAGAGGACCACAGATATGTAGAAGAACCACAGAGGACCACTGATATGTAGAAGAACCACAGAGGACCACAGATATGTAGAAGAACTTCCCAAACAACAATCAAATCTGCAAAACACACAGAATCCCCACAAAACAATCGCCGAAATACTTTCTCAGCAGCGGGAGAGAATGTTCTGTTTTCTTACCTGGTGATACGGATGGGGCGCTGTGGCTAAAACTAATAATAATCTGATCCAACATGGCTGCCGCACCCTGCAGCTACACAAACTTTCTACTTCCTCAGTCTTATCTCCGTCTTTTCTATTCAATCACCTTTCCTCTCTGCACAACCCGGGTCACAGTACAAACCTGGACCACCTGGAAGACTGCATAGACAAGTGCTACGACAGAATTTGCACAATGGGACGCTGACGGAAAGCCAAAAAGCAGCGCACAGTGGACCTCATCCTCTCCCGATTCTTCCCCATAATCCACCTAACCTTATCAATGTAGTCTCCCTCTCCCTTCCTCTCTCTGTGTGTCTCTTTCTGATACATACTTGCACCTCTCTCCCACAGCACTGCTCACACAATGCACTGTCTTTTGTTGTTATTTAGTTGTTTAGTTTTGTATGTCTTTGTGTTCTCCTGTTTGTTCTTGTCCTGTCTTGTTTGTCTGTTTGTAGACTCTTCCACACTTCACAACCACACACAGCCACTAACACTCAAACTCAAACTCATTCAGCCATACAGAGTTCATCACAAATCTCATATGCAACTTCATTTTGTAACCTGGAACATCCGGGGTAGACTTATCTCACACAATCAAAAGAGAACAGTCTGAGAAACCCACAATTCACACAATCCTTTTACACGCTCTATAATTCAAAACAAAGAGGCGTTTGTATCCTAATAAATAAAAAAAATCAGATTCAACTATAACACAACAATTACTGATCCAGAAGGTCCATTTATTACTTATTATTAATGTTGATGCTCTGAGTCCGAAAATGACTTTGGTTTTGCTCAATCAGGTCAGGATTTTTTGCTACAGAAATATTTTTTTAATCGATTTTGCGTAAAAAACAAATTTCTGCAGATCCTCACCTGAGAAACCCTTGACGTTTTTTCCGTATTCCTCAAGAAATAAAAGTCAACGTATCCAAAGTCATTCAGTTTTTATTTACTCCATCAAATTTGATAAGCAGAATTCATAATAACACTATGGCTGTATCTCACAAAGTTGACCTGATAGAGCAAAATGCATGTGATATTCGGACTCAGAACACCAACATTAGTCTGAATCAGTTGAGAAACCACTGACCATTTTTTGACTGTCAACTTGTGTAATTATCAACATTTCTGTTAACAACAATCCGATCACAACAGGCAATATTTATGTCCCAACTCCGATGGCTCCTCCTCTTTTCTTAAAGCCACCCTGTGTAATGTTTACAGCTGCTCCACATGAAAAACCATGTTAACTAATCACAAATGTTTTTCATGTTATGTTTTTACTTTATCATAGCCAAGATCGTACTGCGTGATGTTGTCATGATGTGGCCTTTCTCACCTAGTGTGTTCACAGTGACAACCTCGCTGAAGGGGCCAGTGCCCAGCTTGTTTTGGGCCAAGACACTGAACTGGTACGTCGTCTCTGGCTCCAGGCCTGGCACCATCATCCAGTCACGTCCCCCAGGAACCGCCACAGACAGCCAGTCGTGAGGCCCCAACTGCTCCCGTTTCAGCCTGTTCACAAGCCCAAGAAGAGAGAAGGTTCACGCAGCTGGAGTGCTAATGGCACCCTCATTCCGTTAGCCTGCTCGAAATGACGTATGAAGCAGATGTGTAAAAGCTACACCAGGATCTTTAACATGTGCATCTTAAAGCTGTATTCTAAACAGGGTTTTTTGTTTTTTTAACAAGATGTTTATTTCAGAACATGAACAACACAAATCCACTAAATGTTTTGGGTTTGGTTAAAGAGGTTAAACGGTATTTTAAAAGAAGAAAGCTTGTATTGTTGACCACATACACACTGAGTACTTCATTTTGAAACCACAGAAACATATAATCCATTAAACTGGTTCCACAGATACAGGGGTGTATTTGTCACCTCTTTAGAGCAGCTTTCTCAGTGACAAACGACTAGCTCTCACTAGCATGAAATATAATTATAAATAAAACAAAAAAGTGAGGTACTCCAGCTTTAACTTTAGGCTTATTAACATATTCCAACTTATATTCAATGCGGCAAGTAACTTGTGATAATTATCAATACGTACACATAAATCCTGGACTATTTGGGAACATCTGCTCTTCCTCTAATGCAGAGGTGTCAAACCGGTCCTCAGAGGAACAGTACTGTTGCTGCTGTTTTATTTGCATCCAAAGAGAAGCAGACCAGACACCGGCCCTTTCTGCAACCAGTTTGACACCCCTGCTCTAACATAAGCAGACGTAAGAGCCCATGCCACACAAACAGCACTAACAACATTGGTTTCATAATGCTTAAACTGGATGCATGCAAGAGCTGCCACATAGATAAGCGTTTGGCAGATCGTATGGTTTCTTTTGGATGTCGTCATGACAACAAAGAGAATTCAAAGCGTAAGATTTGAAAACTTGAAGAAAAGGATTCATCAAACATGTAGAAGGTAACTTATGTTACAAAATGATTCAATCTAAAAACGTTTGTGTCGATTTTTTGGGCCATACTTTGGATATTATTATTGGTAACGCAACACTTTTGTTCCTGCATTCTGACATCAATGACTGCTTGAAGTTTCCTTTTTTTACTTCCTGTAAATCCCTAGCCTGGGAATACCCATGATGCTGAACTGCACAGCCGCCTGTAAACCCAGGCTGAAATGTGCAGATGGATTTGTGATTTGGGACCAATCACAGAATGAGGAGAGACGATGACGACAAACTATTGGACAGACGGAAGCTTGGTTTGTTTACAGATCCAGCAAATGGCATCAGATGTGATCCTTCCTTATGTTTCATGGCAGTAATCCTTCCATTGTGGATCATTGGTCTTCACTTCTTTATTTAGGTGCGCAAAATAAATTATACATTCAGCCCAAATTAACGGATGGTTCCCAGACGACATATTCACTCGTGACATGTCATCTGGTGTTAGCCAAGCTCGTGAATCCAAGTCAGTTCAACAAATGGCTTCACACAATAACTAACAATGAAAAACAGTGTGTTATTCATAATCTCCAAAATATGTCTCCAGCTGTATCATGCAGGTTTTAGAGCAACCCTGCATGTACAACTTTAAAATTGCCCAGCAACATATGTCCTTAAAAATGGTCTTTGAAAATAGTCAAATACTGTACAGAAGAGCCCTGGTGCAATCAACCTTCTTCCATTTGAACAGCAGCAAAGCAGCAGCAGCAGCGGGACAGAACTGGGGTCATGTTCAGGCGAGTTGTTTTAAAGTCCTCCATCTCTAGGCTCTCACAACTGCTCTGAACACAACCCTGAAAAAGACATTTTACAGAGGAAGGTGAAGAAAGCAAGAAGCAAAGCATGCTGGGATGACTCACACATGGCCATACCAGACTGAGAATGTCTGCTGGTAGCCTCCGTCGTAGCCCACCTCCCAGGACACATTGGCCCAAGTGGAGGACCCAACCACATGGACATGGGACGGAGCATGAGGGCTTGTGCCTGCAAAGAACAAATACTGGGTTTTATTTTGTTATTATTCTGATTTAGAGGAAGAAATAATATTCATTATCTTTGTTCATAAGAAACAATGAGATTTTTGACTTAACCATTTAAGGTTTTAGAATGTGTATATATCAATAAGTGCTGTCAAAATAATCACATTAATGCACATTAATTACATTTCTTCATGAATCACGTAAAAAAAATATTTGACGCATTTACCGAATGACCCGCCCGTGCAAGTTTAAAAAGAATATGTGCGTTACCGCGGGGCACTAGCTGTTGTTTTCTGTATGAACTAACGGAAGTCTGCATCCTCTGCGTTCTGACCCGGGGCAGCTGAGGGAAACTTTTTTCCAAATGGAGGATTACATATCTGTGCTTTTTATATTATTGTGCTTTTTGTATGCGCAAAACAATGCTGACATGAAACATATTCTGCTGTAGCCAAACTAATTAATAAGCCGCTCTGTAGCTCCTGTGGATTTATAAGATATATATGTTCATCTGATTGTCATTGCTTTAGAACCTGTAACCTCCCCACAAAACAGTTGCCTAGGAAAGCCATGGCTTCTATATTATATGAGTTATATTATCAACTTTAAAAAAATAAAACATAAAAGCATACTCTTTAAGTATTTGTGTCCTTGGGCAAGACACTTAACCCTGCATTGCCTGAAGCCCCCGCTGAAAAATCAAGGCTGTATTGTCACTGACAGAGCAGCCGTCCTCCTGTGGACTCACCACCTGCAGAGGATCAGTGAGGGGCTGGTGCTAAGTGAATTGGGTGCAGCTCTGACTGCCACCCCCCCGACCCAGAAATGGATTAAGGGGAAGAAGATGGATGGATGGATGGCATACTCTTTAAAGTGAATGCAAAGGTGAATGAATGTCAAGAGGTCACTGGGTTAAGTTTCCATGATAATATCCTTCTGTAAACATGTTTGGGTTGTTGTGAAGGAAAGTGTACTTTTCTAAGTGCAATTTTATGTTGTCAGCGAATGATACGACTGGAAACCTTTTTTAGGCTATAACTGTGTCAACAAACTAATGGTTTAGGCCATATGGAATCTTTGAAGTGACAATGATGTGGACATAATGTAGGTGAGGTTTTTATCATTCAATAAATGAGTCTGTGACAGAAGGGAGGATCAGAAACTGCAAAGGTTCAGAACCAAAGAGGCCTTACTTCGGCTCTCCAGCTTCGCAGATTCTCATCTCCTGGCGTTGCAAGTATAGTCTGAGGCTATATCCACACGAAGACAAAACGCTTATAATTTCAGAAACTTTTTCTGTAAACACTGAGTTAGCTCAGTAAATGTGTGCGTTCAAATGAATGTAGTCAATACGCCTGAAAACGCTGTGAAACTATGCCAGACCTGTTGGTGGCGCTGTGACGCAATGACGGGATCAAGCCCAAACTTCCGTGACGGGAACTGGGCATGCGCAGAATTTTGTAAACAGACAACATGGCGAGTGGGCGAGCTGGTACTACATTAGTATGGACGGACGATGAGATTGAACTGTTGCTTCGGGTCACACTGGATTACAAAACCAACAAGCAACATTGTTGTTGTCATTATTTTCTGAGTGCGGCGCATGCGTGCTTTAACAAGAGGCGGGGCGATGACGCAAGCGTCTCAGATACATTGCGGAGAGGCAGTAACCACGGAGCGGCATATACGGAGTTTTGAAATCTTTCCACTCTGGGACCTACTTTTAAAAATGTTCGTTTACACCCCCCCAAAACGCCGGCCTCGTATGGACGATACACTGGATTGATAAAGTATTTTTGCGTTTAGGCCTGAGCTTGACTTCGTGTGGACAGGGCCGTATGGTTGTGTCCAGGTATTGTTTGAACCAGCATTAACAGACACATATATATATTTTTCTGTACACAGGGGTCATGTAAGTAACAGTGCCTACCTATGACTTGGACGTGCGTGCTGGCAGTGATGCTTGTGGCTACGTTGGTGGCCACACACTCCCACTCTCCGTGGTCCTCCTTGGTCAGGGACTTGAACTGTAAGCTTCCACGGGACAGGACATTGTGCTTGCTTTTACTGGGCTTCCCCACCTGTAGTATGCCAGGCAAAACACATGTGAATGTCAATTATTCACAGGACTGAATGACAAAGAATGGCTTATTATGACTAAGTATTATTAATAATCAAGGCTGCTTAAGAGTCAGAGGGCTGAACACATTTTTGATGGCATATTTTAAATTAGACAGCATTAAAATGTGATTAAAAACATGCACACCTTGAGCTATTCAACTAACAGTCAGACAAACTGCAAAATCTTCCCACGTTCCAAACTGAGTGGACTTGCCTTCCTCCATGTGATGTCTGGAAAAGGGTCTCCCTCAGCCTCGCAGGGGATGACAAGTTCTCTCCCTGCCTCTTGCCTGTACTCCCCTCCAGGAACCACTGAAAATTTGGGAGGGTCCTTACCAGAGAAACAGCATGAGAGTTTGATACGCAGACTTTGATTAAACTAATTATCAGTTAAACAATGCAATGTTGTACCTTTAGCACCAGGGGAGCAGGAAGGGACCATCCCATAGTACCCAGGGCATTGTAAGGCATACAGGTGTAGGTGCCGAGTGAGTCCTCTGTCACCTCTGCCACACGGATGCTCCCGTTTTCCATCTGGCTCCAGCCGGGGTACTGATCAGGGGGACAAAACTATCTTCAGTTCCACATTTCACACATTTCACATTTGTCACTCACATTCATCACAATTCACAACTGAAACTTGACCAATGGAAGCCGGAATATGAGCCCACCTTGTCTATCCTAAGAGGGAGGCCATCTTTCTTCCACTTCACCATCGTTATCGGGGGGTTGGCATCAGCGGGGCAGCGGATGAAGCCAGGCAGACCGATTGCCACATAAATGACAGCTGGCATGTTCACCACTCGGGCAGGATCTGTGGATAAACTCATCATAAGAGGGGGGCAGAACTATTTACATGTTTAAAAAGAAATATAAAGAAAGTAAACTGTCAAAGTACAAAAATAAAGAGCTGTAAGAAGTGTATCGTGAGTATAAAGAAGAGTACCAAACGCAATTGGCCGCCATTATGCAAGTTATCCCACTTCTAGGTAGGAGGGAGAGAGACGAGAGACAGAATGAGTAAAACAAAAACTAATCCGAAAATCACATTATCTTACTTTTCAAGAATTTATTTGCAAATTATGGTGGAAAATAATTATTTGGTCACTTACAAACAAGCAAGATTTCTGGCTCTCACAGACCTGTAACTCCTTCTTTAAGAGACTCATCTGTAACCACCGGTGACCTGTATTAATGGCAATGACATACAAGACCACTGATAATCTCCCCTGATCTGTGGCTCCACGTTCTCACCCCATGGGGTCAAAATGATCACAAGAACGGTGAGCAAAAATCCCAGAACCACATGCTGGGACCAAGTGAATGACCTGCCACCGTGTCCCTCTGCTTAGGCCAGTGCATGTCCAGGCCCTTCTGAAGTTTGCTAGAGAGCATTTGGATGGTCCAGAAGAGGATTGGGAGATTGTCATATGGTCAGAAGAAATCAAAATAGAACCTTTTGGTAAAAACTCAACTCGTCGTGTTTGAAGAAGCTGCATCCAAAGAACATCACACCTACTGTGAAGCATGGGGGTGGAAACATCAGCTTTGGGGCTGGACCAGGACGGCTGATCCATGTAAAGGAAGTAATGAATGCGGCCATGTATTGTGAGATTTTAAATGAAAACCTCCTTCCATCAGCAACAGCATTGAAGATGAAACATGGATGGGTCGTTCAGCATAATAATGATCCCAAACACACCGCCCGGGCAACGAAGGAGTGGCTTTGTACGAAGAACTCCAACACGTGGCGGCTGAGACGAGGAGCAATGACTCCCTGTGAGAGACACAAGAAAAGTGTAGCGTCCAGCCCCTCACCTCGCTGGGGTGGAACAACACCCCCCCAGTGAGGTGATGTTCCACATCCCAAGAACCAGATGTGTGTACGGACTGGGTGGCCGAGGTCTACGTCTTCGGCTGCCGCCCAGTCCTCTATGCACCGACCCACCATGGATCCCTCTGTGGGGGGCAGGTCCACAGGAGGGCCTGCACACGTCGTCCCTTCAGGCTGAGCCCAGCCGGGCCCTGTGGGCTAAGGCCCGGCCACCAGATGCTTGCTTGCGAGCCCCATTGCAGGCTTTGGACTGCGCTTTGTCTGACTCGTCACCCGAGCCCGGTTTTCCATGGTAGGCCCTACCAGGGTCATAAATCCCCAGACAACATAGATCCCAGGATCATCAGAGTACTCAAACTCTGGGACCACGTTAAGGTGGAACTGCCACAAATACAATCATTTACTCATTACAATCAAGCAAATGTTACACATGAGCTATTTACACACAAAACCCTATTGCACACATGTTCCCCCAAGATTATCAATAGTGCTCACATGTTTGAGACGACTTTAGCCACTCTTAATGAAGTAAAAATGGGGGCCTGTCTGCAAACTGTTCCATCGTACACAGCCCTTGTACAACAGAACATTTTGCCCGAAAGTAAGTAGTAAGTAATCTTTATTTATATACCGCCTTTTCACTGCAGATCAGAGTCTCAAAGCGATTTACAATTGTTATTTTTTGGGCAGGGGCGCCAGTACAGGAGGCGCATGCCAGATCAATTGGGCATGTTTTTAGTGGTAGGGGAAACCGGAGTACCCAGAGGAAACCTACGCAGACACGGGGAGAACATGCAAACTCCACTCAGAAAGGCCCTGGTCCAACCGGGATTTGAACCCAGAACCTTCTTGCTGAGAGGCAAGAGTGCTATCCACTCAGCCACCGTGCCTGAATTAGTATTCAGAAAACCACATTTGGTTCATGATGTGATTCATGCTCAGGTAATGTTGTCCTGAGGACAAACACAAACGCCTCACTGTTGCTGCTTGTACAGTCGTCATTTAGCCGGGATTGTCCTCTACACTTCTACATAGACTTTTGTGCTTGCATTAATCGTGCGATAAAACATTTGAAATGTATTTATCAACGCGTTAAACTGACAGCACTAGTTTTATTATGTTCATATAGTGCGTTATAAACCATAGTATAGAATAGTCTGATTGGTGGATGGCGGCTGTCACTGAAATAACTTAAAATGTATCTAATCATAAAAAGTATGTGAAAGATACTTTTGATTAAATTAATGTTTTTGATATTTTGCCCAAATAACATTGATCCCTCATCAAAACATAGTTGGAGTTGTTCTTATCTCCATCCACCTAACATCACTTCTGGAACATTTAAATCCTAATGGTCCAAACTCAGGACAAATTGTTCGACAAGGACAGAACCCTTTAATATCTTTAAAATAAGTTTAGTGGATTTATCCGGTCTTCTGACTATCTTTACAACTACTTTAGCAATATTCATTCGTTTGTCTTTGACTCAATATTATGAAAGTTATTTTGTGTTTTTTTGCTTTTGAATTATATAAACTATAACAAAAAGTATTCAGTGTAAATAAATTCAATGTTTGACACTGAATTTTAAAACATTGAATATTTTGACACTGATTACTTTATTGTTATAGTTTATATAATTCAAAAGCAAAAAAAAGTGTTAATAAAAACACAAAATAACCTTCATACAATATGCTGTGTGGCAAATTGGATGACATAATCCCGCAACTGTAGTAGTCACCTTTATTTTTGTATTCTTTCACACTTTGAAACAGCATAGAGTCCAAAGGAGGTCCAAGAGAAAAAGAAGGGATATTTGTGTGAAAGGAGAGGGGAGGGGGGAGAAAGAGGAGTGCTGTTGGCAGTGCAATGATGAAGGAGGAGCACAAGCGTGGGAATGAGGACAGGTGAGGGAGAGCTGGAGATGACGTAAGGCTGAGAGGGGACGAGAACCATCTCAGCAGCATTCGACAGTCAGCTGCTCTCAAAAAGGACAAGGCAATAAGATCAGAGGGAAGATGGAGGGCACTGGGAGAGGTTCAAATGCCACTCAAGGGGATCAACTGACCACAGCAACGCCAACAGAACCACCACCACCCCGGCAACACCACGACAACGCACCCAGAGGAGCCCCGGCGAGAGTGCCACCGACAAGAATATCTGCCAAGTGTCTAAAAATAGCCCTCAGACAGCACTATCGCTCACGGCGCGCTGGTACCCTGCTGCACGGGCTGCTTTTGGGGAACTCTTCCATTGGCTGATCCCTGTGATGGAAGGAATGGAAGGATGACAGCAGAGAAAGGGCACTCTTTCAGATCAGAGGGTTATGTTTGGAAGCATATGCATTAAAAAGGAGAGGAGGGAGGAGAGGATATGAGCGCAACAGCAATGATGTAATCCCAATGTGCTCCCCCCAACTCTCCTCTCTGCAACCCCCACCCCCCACCTTGCACAGCCTAAGCAGCCGCTGAAGAAGGCTGTGAGAAAGGGAATGCAGAAATATCAGTTGCCTTGACTACTACCGGTGGATACTGGTGACTAGACAGAAAGAAAGGTACAAATCTCCCACTTCATCAGCATAAATGTGAGGAGATACATGACAATCAAAAGCTGAAAGTGAATATAGGTTTATGAATATCTATATTGATATACAATGTATGAAGAACAGAAAAGACTAATTTATCAATTGTTTATGTACGTGCAAAAGTAATAATCACCCTTAAAAACTTTAGTCAACTGATTTATGAAGCATGTGTTCAGAATTAAACCAGGGAAAATGCTAATTATTTTATTTTTCAACCTGCAATTGATAAATGAGGTTTGTTGTGCTTTCACCTTCACTTAAAGGAACTATACCTGATTTATTTTCAAATGAGTTTGTAAAAATGCGTATTACTACACACAAGTTGTATTAAAATCCGTAATTTAATTGAAAACTTGAGCTCATTGATTCAGCTGTGTATGAATTCAGGGCGTAAAAAAGTGCTGAGTAGAAATTTGGCGTGACGCTCGCTCTCCTCCAATCACAGAACGAGGAGCAGCGTTGTTACGAACAGGCCACGCCTCCTCTAGCCTCTACAGCGCTGCTAAACACAGTAGCATGTTAGCATAAGTGTCTATAACTCCTCTGGCTGTAACTGCAGACACAGCAAAACAGCCCAAACCACACAACAGTGAGGAAGAGAAGAGGGAACTAAAGCCAAAACATGATCAAAGAAGAAACCAAGCCCTGAACAGAGCTAGCTTACATCGTATCCTCTGGAGAGACTTGTCTATGGGAGAGACCTTAGGGACCGCCTCGGACTATCTACGCTCGGACTATCTACGCTTGGACTATCTGTGCTCAGACTATCTACGCTCAGACCACATTTGGACGTGAAACCAGCAGTAATCTTTCAGTTATATATTTTGTTAGCAGTGCGTTGCTTTTGTACCATTTCCTCAGTGACTGTCGTACAGCTTACAAGAAGTTGTTCTAATGCTATTGATTGCATATGTATCAGATCGCAAATAAAACCAGATGGCGCCGTGGCAGGAGCACGTAGGGGAGAGTAGGAGGGTTTCTCCAAATGAGAAGCCTGTGAGCGAGTTGGAGGCGGTGCTAAACATTCAAACTGATAAAAACCTTGCAGAAACGGGTCTAGCTCCTGTCAGTATCGAAGTGTTCTGCAACATTATAAATCATATCGTCGTCTCAGCAGAAACAGGTTTTGAAGCATTGGGGAATTGATTATTCTTTAATATAAATTGTGTATTTTTAAAGTAAGTACTTAAACATCTTTTGTATGTTGCTTGTATCGAACGTTGTTAATAATAATCATGTTGTCCCCTGTCATGTTACTGTCCTGTGTCATGTTCTTACTCCCACTTTTTCGGTGGCTGAGTGGATGGCACTCTCGCCTCTCAGCAAGAAGGTCCTGGGTTCGAATCCCGGTCGGACCAGGGCCTTTCTGAGTGGAGTTTGTATGTTCTCCCCGTGTCTGCGTAGGTTTCCTCCGGGTGCTCCGGTTTCCCCTACCACTAAAAATATGCACAATAGGTCTGGCATGTGCCTCCTGTACTGGCACCCCCACTCCCAAAAATCACAATTGTAAATCGCTTTGAGACTCCGATGTGCAGTGAAAAGGCGGTATATAAATAAAGATTACTTACTACTACTACTTCTGGATCAAACTTGTTTGTCTCCCCACACGTCTAAACCAGGTCATGTAGGGGAGCACCAAAGAACAATACAGAACATATAATATTTAATCATTCAAATATTCTTCAACCTTAATGATTCTTTACGATTCCTAAACATGTTTTTTCATATATTCATTCAATCTCTGGATGATTTAGAATTATGTTTAAGATAAGATATACTTTATAGATCTCACAAAGGAGAAATGTACATGTCACATCTGGCATGGATAGAAACACTCAGGATTGTGCAAAAAGAAAGAAATGTGCAACATGTTAAATGCAGGATATATTATGTACAATAAAAAGGCCGTCATGTTGAAGCCATATGGTGTAGGAAGTGGGTCAAGTGAGCAGGGCAAGGCCGGGCTGCGGTGATCAGGGCAGTGATATGCTGTATTCCATTCCATTCCATTCCATCTTCTTCCGCTTCATCCGTTGCCGGGTCGCGGGGGCAGTAGTCTGCTGTATTTGTGGTAAATAAAACTCAGACAGGATCGAAGTGGGTGTAATGGGCAAGTAGTTTAACCGATGGTGGTCCAAATGCACTGACGTGGGACAGGAGAGGAGATTGTGTAATGTCTCAATTTTAGCATGCAAAAAGTCCAGGTATTCCTGACACTGGGACACTGAGCCTGTGGACAGTAGAAAAGAGTGCTCTTGTATCGGATGTGTTTCGACTGATGACATTGGTGTGAAAATCCAGTTTGGCTGAGTTGATGGTATCTTTGTAGATGTGACATGATTAAGTTGGATGGATGGTGGACACTTACACCTCACAGCCCATGGTTAGACCTCATTTCTCACAGTAAGAAGGTTCTCACTCACTCTGTGGAGTTTGCATGTTTTCTCCAGGCACTCCAGTTTAACCCATCATTAACCCAAAACATGGAAGAGGACATTAAAAATCTTATTGTAACTTTTAGTAACTACTTACTTAACAATGATTCCAGACCAGGCAAACTTCAGGCAGTAGTGATAATAGGAGGAAGCACTCACATTGCACTGTTAGGTAGGCAGAGGCAGTCGGTGGGTGGCCCAGGCTGTTACTGGGTGCACAGGTGTACTTCCCAGTATCCTCTGGCTTCACTTGAGCAATGATGAGGGATCCATCAATGAGAATACTGACTCTGCGCTTGACGTCACTGTGGAAATATGCAACCATTCTTAACATCAGCACTGGGATATGACCCTAGACCCACAGAATTTAATTAATCTGCTTCTCACAAAAGTTTGATTTGGCATGTGGATTCTACACTAAAAGGGAAATACCAAATGGTAATTCAATTAAACACATTTAATAAAGTCTTATGGATGCCAGTCTTCAGCATGGCCATTCTGAGTACACTATACTACAGGCTGCTCTGTGTCATTCCACATGTGGGTCATTCTACATTTGATTAGCAGGCTACAACACAAGACTGAGCATGGATTTTTGTGTCACTGCTGCAGACTTTGGATAGTGCTTGATCACCATTAAATATAATGCATTCAGAATAAATGAATCTTCTCCACGCACAGACAGATACAGTAAATATCTAATGACAGAGGAAAGGACCATAATGAACCCGATCATAACTTTACTTCTTGAAGAAGACATTTTCCTCTTCCCAAAACCATGTGTAGGTCAGGTTGCGGGGGTAGGCCTCAGCCTGGCAGGTGAAGAAGGCATCCTGCGAGATGTTCACGGTGATGTTCTCTGGAGGGGATACAATGAACGGAGGCCCTGGGGAAGAGGTACAACATCAGGTCAACAGAGGTCACTGGACAACACTAAGTCTGGATAATTAGAAACGTTTTTTGTGATGTCATGTGGAAAAGCTTTTCTGCACAGGGTTGAATGTCGCAGTTAAAAGACAAGAAGCAATTCAGCCTTTCAACTGAAAACTATATAATAAACAGGACGGAAAACTAGTAATAAAAATCAATATAACTTTGAAATGTGATATTTGAGAAACTATGATGGGAACAATCTTGAATGGCCTCAAATAAACCATTATGCACACCATTTCAAACTTATTCATACAACATGCTAACTGTGAGAATGTAGCTCTTTTTGCATTTAAGTCACTGGGCATCCCAACTTTCTACTCGCCGAGGCCTTTGCAGCAGGAGCAGGATTGGCCTGTGCTGAGGCTGTGTGTTGCTCTGTGAGTGGAAGAGGTCTGCCGGTCCTATGTGAGCCAGTGCCAAACCGCCCTGTTTGGAGCCAGCCGAGTGCCAAAGAGTTTTTGGCACATTAGTCTCTGATCTTCTGCTCAATTGCTTTCCAGGAGGCCTCTATGAATCCGTCTGTCGTAAATTACACAGGCCAGGTCAACTATCTCCTATGGCTCCGCTGAAGCCAACCACAAATAATAGAGTTTTTGTGCTATTCATTTTTTTCAAACTTGTGTGCCCAAAAAGACAAAAAAAGAAATAGTAAATTATGAATCAATTACTATCTATAGCGCTCCCTCGCTATAACGCGGTTCATCCTTCGCAGCCTTGCTATTTTGCAGTTGTTTTTGTGATAAACGAGGGACCACTTTATCCACAATTTCAATAATAACTTGACTTTTTGGAACACACACATATTCTACAGAACACATTCTCTGTGTGCCTTAATCATATGAAAAGATCTTCCTTAAAAGTAACTGCCTGCACTGAGATAAGCCGTGATTTTAAAGTAGTACTGAATCAAGGCACCTCCCTCACCTATGGTCATGAGCTTTGGGTAATGACCGAAAGAACGAGATCGCGGATACAAGCGGTCGAAATGAGCTTCCTCCGCAGAGTGGCTGGGCGCTCCCTTAGAGATAGGGTGAGGAGCTCAGTCACACGGGAGGAGCTCGGAGTAGAGCCGCTGCTTCTCCACGTCGAGAGGAACCAGTTGAGGTGGCTCGGGCATCTGTTCCGGATGCCTCCTGGACGCCTCCCTGGGGAGGTCCTAGGACACGCTGGAGGGACTACGTCTCTCAGCTGGCCTGGGAACGCCTTGGGGTCCCCCCGGACGAGCTGGAGGAAGTGTGTGTGGATAGGGAAGTCCGGGCGTCTCTGCTTAGACTGCTGCCCCCGCGACCCGGCAACGGATAAAGCGGAAGAAAATGGATGGATGGATGGATGGATGGATGAATCAAGGCACATAGATTTTTTTGGGAATCATGGTGAGTATCTCTGAACATTATTTGAGCAGTTTTAAAATTAATCAAGTCTTGTAGTTTAAACAGTGAAAAACAAGCAAAACAAATTAAAGATTATTTTTTGATGGGGTGAAAGCATATACTGTAAGCTCTTTGCCAACACTTTAGAGGATCTCTCAAGAAAGGCAACATTTTTATCCAGCAATTGTGGCTTGCCAACATGAGGAGTGGAATCTTGATTCTGTATTCTCTGGGATCGACTCCCAGTCAGTTTGGAATAATATAGGCGTTTTCACAGAGGCCTGGCATCTTCGAGCCCGTCTACACATATCTCCAGCAGCAGGACACTGGACATAAAAGCACCCTAAGGATGTGTCCTGAGCCCTCTCATTTACAGCCTTTACACAAAGAACTGCACAGCTACACACGTTATCAACTCCATTGTGGCCTTGCTAGCAAACTGGGGTAAAAACAACAGCTTGGTCATCAACATCTCCAAAACTAAGGAGATGGTGGCGGATCTGAGAAGGGGGACGCACCGCCACAATCATGGAAGACATTCACCATTCCCATCATGAACTGTTCCAGTAGATCCTCTCTGGAAGGAGGCTGTGCGCTATCAGGGCAAGTAATAGTAGTAGTAATCTTTATTTATATACCGCCTTTCACAGACCAGAGTCACAAAGCGGTTTGCAATTATTATTTTTGGGCATTTGTCTCTCACACCTACGCAGACACGGGGAGAACATGCAAACTCCACTCAGAAAGACCATGTTCCGGGATTCGAACCCAGGACCTTCCTGCTGAGAAGCGAGTCTGCTGTCCACTCAGCCACCGTGCCGCAAGAAGTGAAAGACTTCCATAGGCCTTATGAACACTTTGGAATCCTAGTTATTGCTGTTCTGCATTTCCTTGACTACTTAAATTAAACTAAAAAGACAGATGTATTGGTTACTAGTTATTACGAGCCACAAGGTGGTGCTGTTTAGGAGTGTGGCTCAGTAACAAAATTAAAACCGGGTGTGGAACAGAGACTCGAGGCGGAGGTCCAAAAAGTAACAGGTTTTTTTCCAATGTGCAAAAGAACCACTGTTCAGATCACTAAAACAACATGCTCAGAGAAGGTGAGGTGCAGCGGCGGGACCCACTGGTCCAACGGACGGTCGAAATGGACGAGAGAGAGAGCCTGGTCTGGATCCAGGCCCTTTATGCATCCCAGCTGATTACTGCAAAGGTGTGGGTGGGACGTCACTCAGCTGGAGGTGGGAGGGTCTGACAGGTCTCCACAGGAAAACACACAAACCAAAACCAAAGGACTTTGTCCGTAACACTTGTCATTTCCCTACATGTTATTGACCGTGTTGTTAACATTGTATGTGACAAATAAATATCTATCCATCTCTTTAAGCTGCACTAACTCACTTTGTGAAATTTTAGAATGTGAGCATGGCCTCGCTCTCTCTGCTCGCCCTCCCCGCACTCACGAAGCTATCACCTCCCACTCCCCCCTCCCCCTCAGCCTGTGCTTATGCGTTTATGGAGCTCACGTCTCACAATATGGATCGCACATCTGAACGTGGCGTGACCATAGAATGATAGAACCGGGGAGTGCGGAGGAACGAGACTTTCTTTAGGCTGTTTCTCTGAGTAAGCAGTAACCGATAACAAAGACACGGGAAGTTTCAGGTTAGCCTCCGCCGCTTGTTTACCTCAGCTGTCTGTGCTAACCACAGACCTGTGGCTTTACTCAAGAAAGTGGGGGCCAGTGGTCCGCTGTGATTGGTCACAATCTGGACCCGAAACAAATTCTCTTCCTTGTTGCACAAAAACTCCAATATAAAATGACACGCCAGCACAAATGTGAGCTAATTTTTCTTCAAAAGGACGTATATCCCATTGCACTGCATGGATATGGATTGGATTTAACTAATGAATACAAAAATAAAGTGAGGCAGAGCAGCTTTAAGTAGTGCCCAGGATAGCCCACTTCAGGAGCTCATTAGGAGGATCTCTGAGTGATGATCAAAAAGCAGCAAAAGCTGCTTGGATGCTAGAGAGTTAGTTAGTTTCAGACGTTTGGAGAGAGGTTTTACTAAATGAAAATAACCTCTCTGGTTGTGTGGTTGGTTGTACGGCCCCCGCTGGGCCCAGATAAAGTTTTTTTAATTCCTTTGGAAAAGAGCAGCAACGCAAGAAATGGTTGCGGGCAATCAGGAGAATGAGCGCTCTAAAGAAAGCCTGGATTCCGGACTCAACAGAAAGAAAAACCTGGTTTTACTGTCACAGTGAGTGATGATTTCTCTATTCTCCTTTGTAATCACACACAGCAGATGTGAATTCCGCAGTGACTCAACCTGGTCTGACCTTAGCTTTCACCACACGCACAAACTTCTCTTCTTTCTGAAAACAGGCCTCCAGCCTTGCACTTTTCTTGCGTGAAGGGCCCCGGGTTTTCTATGAAGTAAGAATAAATGTCTCCCAGCAAAATAGGTGCCAAGACAGAGGCGACTCTGACCAATGTTTGTCGTCTTCCCAGGTCTCATATGGGCTTTGAAATTGTTCAGTTTGGTCTCCTTTCCTTATATTTAGCTTATCTTTATATCTCCTCCAATCTTCTTGCGTTAAAGTGCTTGTATAAAGTTCTATTCGCCCACTGAGTTGTTTAAAAGTACTCATTGCATCCATGCTTCAGTATGTGCCTCTGTCTTCTTGCCACCTCGCGAGTGTCGCATGAGCATACGGATGTAAACAAAAAAGTAATGCATCTTCATTTTGAAAACAATAGATATGTTTTCTTTGCAATTGAAGCTCTGCGCACATCAAGACTTGCAACTATGAAACTGGATGTTTGTTTACATGACAAAGAGGCCTGCAATATAAGCCAATGTCCACTTATTTGTATTATCTTAACTATAGTTAATTTATCTGGAATACAGTGCCTTGCGAAATTATTATTCAGCCCCCTTTAACCTTTCAACATTTCGCCACATTTCAGGCTTCAAACATAAAGATATAAAATTTAAATTTTTTTCATTCATGTCATGAATCAACAACAAGTGGAACACAATCGTGAAGTGGAACGAAATGTATTGGATAATTTAAACTTTTTTAACAAATAAAAAACTGAAAAGTGGGGCGTGCAATATTATTCGGCCCCTTTACAGCAAAGGGGCCGAATAATATGCAGCAAACTCGGTCCAGAAGTTCAGTGAGGATCTTTGAATGATCCTGAAGAAGATGACATGCCTGGGATCGCGTCTTTCATTCAGACAGAAGACATGTTTTATTGTCGATGGTAGAGACAGCACGAACAAAGCACACGATCACAGATACAACAGAATGCAAGTGTATTATACAGAGCGGAGGCATGGAGACCTCCAATCAGCAGCTGCCACAGTGCCATGTAGCTTGGCCTTCAGATAGACAAAACAAGGGAAAAGTACTGGCTTCTGCACATTGATAGAATGATGAGTTTAACTTTAACAAAAGTTGCTTAAAAGTGTTATGAAATCTCACATTCCCCCCTGTGGTCACACATTCCCGTGTGACCATCGGGATCGATAAACAGCAACATAACTCAATACTTAAACTCATAAACTTGGTACTTCACTCGGTACTTCAAAAAACTCAGAACTCGGAATACTTCAAAAACTCATAAAACTCATAAAACATTTTCAGATCTTTCATAAAACTTGTCAACAATCTTCAGTAAAATACCAAACTTCATCAGTCGATGGTTCTCAGATATTGCTTTGAAAACAGTCTCTCCCACTTCTCCGTGTTGGTTTCTTCAGGCTGCATTTGTGTCGAGCCATGAATTCTTCTGTGACGTGTCTTTCAATCACACGTTTCAGCTTCAGTGTCCAGATTCAGAAATCCAATTCAGTCCAAATTATGTCCAAATTCAGAAATCCAATCGTTCAAAATGATGTCCATGCAAAAGAGGACGCTGGTGTTGTCCATGTCTCAGCAGCTCACAGCCTGACTGGAGTCAGGGGCTGTGCAGATTGTCCATGTGTGCTGGTCCAGGTGCATGGTTTCTCTTGAGGTTTTTCAGTTTTGGCTTGAAAAAAAACACACATTTTTGTGTAAAAAAAAAAGTCTTCTGTTCTCTAGAGGTTACAGACAAGGCCCACATCCTTCCACCACCTGAAGAAGATGACATGCCTGGGATTGCGTCTTTCATTCAGACAGAAGAAATGTTTTATTGTCGATGGTAGAGACAGCACGAACAACACGAACAACAGAATGCAAGTGTATTATACAGAGCGGAGGCATGGAGACCTCCAATCAGCAGCTTCCACGGTGCCATGTAGCTTGGCCTTCAGATAGACAAAACAAGGGAAAAGTACTGGCTTCTGCACATTGATAGAATGATGAGTTTAACTTTAACAAAAGTTGCTTAAAAGTGTTATGAAATCTCACATTCCCCCCTGTGGTCACACATTCCCGTGTGACCATCGGGATCGATAAACAGCAACATAACTCAATACTTAAACTCATAAACTTGGTACTTCACTCGGTACTTCAAAAAACTCAGAACTCGGAATACTTCAAAAACTCATAAAACTCATAAAACATTTTCAGATCTTTCATAAAACTTGTCAACAATCTTCAGTAAAATACCAAACTTCATCAGTCGATGGTTCTCAGATATTGCTTTGAAAACAGTCTCTCCCACTTCTCCGTGTTGGTTTCTTCAGGCTGCATTTGTGTCGAGCCATGAATTCTTCTGTGACGTGTCTTTCAATCACACGTTTCAGCTTCAGTGTCCAGATTCAGAAATCCAATTCAGTCCAAATTATGTCCAAATTCAGAAATCCAATCGTTCAAAATGATGTCCATGCAAAAGAGGACGCTGGTGTTGTCCATGTCTCAGCAGCTCACAGCCTGACTGGAGTCAGGGGCTGTGCAGATTGTCCATGTGTGCTGGTCCAGGTGCATGGTTTCTCTTGAGGTTTTTCAGTTTTGGCTTGAAAAAAAACACACATTTTTGTGTAAAAAAAAAAGTCTTCTGTTCTCTAGATGTTACAGACAAGGCCCACATCCTTCCACCACCTGAAGAAGATGACATGCCTGGGATTGCGTCTTTCATTCAGACAGAAGAAATGTTTTATTGTCGATGGTAGAGACAGCACGAACAACACGAACAACAGAATGCAAGTGTATTATACAGAGCGGAGGCATGGAGACCTCCAATCAGCAGCTTCCACGGTGCCATGTAGCTTGGCCTTCAGATAGACAAAACAAGGGAAAAGTACTGGCTTCTGCACATTGATAGAATGATGAGTTTAACTTTAACAAAAGTTGCTTAAAAGTGTTATGAAATCTCACAATCCAATGTTGTCCTAAATGACTGATGATGATAAATAGAATGCACCTGTGTGTGATCAAGTCTCCGTATAAATGCACCTGCTCTTTGATAGTCTCAGGGTTCTGTTTAAAGCGCAGAGAGAACCATGAAGACAAAGGAACACACCAGGCAGGTCCGAGATACTGTTGTGGAGAAGTTTAAAGCCGGATTTGGATACAAAAAGATTTCCCAAGCTTTAAACATCTCAAGGAGCACTGTGCAAGCAATTAAATTGAAATGGAAGGAGTATCAGACAGCTGCAAATCAACCAAGACCCGGCCGTCCCTCTAAACTTTCATCTCAATCAAGGAGAAGACTGATCAGAGATGCAGCCAAGAGGCCCATGATCACTCTGGATGAACTGCAGATAACTACAGCTGAGGTGGGAGAGTCTGTCCATAGGACAACAATCAGTCGTGCACTGCACAAATCTGGCCTTTATGGAAGAGTGGCAAGAAGCCATTTCTCAAAGATATCCATAAAAAGTCTTGTTTAAAGTTTGCCACAAGCCACCTGGGAGACACACCAAACATGTGGAAGAAGGTGCTCTGGTCAGATGAAACCAAAATCAAACTTTTTGGCCACAATGCAAAACAATATGTTTGGCGTAAAAGCAACACAGCTCATCACCCCGAACACACCATCCCCACTGTCAAACATGGTGGTGGCAGCATCATGGTTTGGGGCTGCTTTTCTTCAGCAGGGACAGGGAAGATGGCTAAAATTGATGGGAAGATGGATGGAGCCAAATACAGGACCATTCTGGAAGAAAACCTGTTGGAGTCTGCAAAAGACCTGAGACTGGGACGGAGATTTATCTTCCAACAGGACAATGATCCAAAACATAAAGCCAAATCTACAATGGAATGGTTCACAAATAGACGTATCCAGGTGTTAGAATGGCCAAGTCAAAGTCCAGACCTGAATCCAATCGAGAATCTGTGGAAAGAGCTGAAGACTGCTGTTCACAAACGCTCTCCATCCAACCTCACTGAGCTCGAGCTGTTTTGCAAGGAAGAATGGGCAAGAATTCCAGTCTTTCGATGTGCAAAACTGATAGAGACATACCCCAAGCGACTTGCAGCTGTAATTGCAGCAAAAGGTGGCACTACAAAGTATTAGCGCAAGGCAAGGGGGCCGAATAATATTGCACGCCCCACTTTTCAGTTTTTTATTTGTTAAAAAAGTTTAAATTATCCAATAAATTTCGTTCCGCTTCACAATTGTGTCCCACTTGTTGTTGATTCTTGACAAAAAATTAAATTTTGATATCTTTATGTTTGAAGCCTGAAATGTGGCGAAATGTTGAAAGGTTAAAGGGGGCCGAATACTTTCGCAAGGCACTGTATATATAAAGCCCCCACTGAAAGATCAAGGCTATGCTCACACTCAGAGAGTAGCCGTCCTCCTGTGGACTCACCACCTGCAGAGGGTCAGTGAGGGGCTGGTGCTATGAGACTTGGGTGGCATCTCTGACTGCCACCCCCCTGACCCAGAAATGGATTAAAGGGAAGAAAATGGATGGATGGATGGATGGCACTGTATATACATTATTGACTACATGGCACAGAACATGCCGACGGAGCTGGTGTGTTGGAATCAGATAAGAAAAAGATTGTATTGTCTGTATCATACAAAAGCCGCTCGTGAAAAACATGGATCCTGCGTTCTAACTGGTTAATCCCAGGTCGGGACGATACCATCACCATATCCTGAGTCAATATATATTGTATATCTCGTTGCATTTCTCTCAAAATAGCAGCTCTTTTCAGCCACACTTTTCTCTGTCCTTGTCATGACATTAGGAAATAAAAACTGGGATGGAGCTTAAGCTGATTTCTCTTTTAACTACAGATATGTAAATATGTGAAAATTAAGACCCTTTCCATGTGAGATGTTTGTCTGTCTACGTCTATACACACACAGACAAACAAAACTCCAGATGTCCAACTGTCGGGACGGTGTATCGTGATGTAGACCAGTGGTTCCCAAAGTGGGGGTTGCGGGACCCCACGAGGGGTTGTGAGATGATTTCCTTAAAAAAAATGAATTAAAAAAGTGGAATAAGTATATATCCCTTAAATAATTTTGTTGCAATTGATTTGGGAACCCCTTACATGAGCTGTTTGTAACATATGATAACACGTCTGATCAATGCAAAAATCTGCTTCAAATTTGCAGCAAAGAAATCGATTAGGCTATGGATTAAATATTATAAGATTGGTTCCTTTTGTCCATAATCTTTTTGCATTTTAAAATGTTCAAACTAACAATAGCATACGGTGCAAGCAGGGTTCAGGTTCATACTCTTGGCAGAGTTCAACTCTGTGAAAATGGCTGAAGAGGCTGTAACAGTGAAAGTGTGTGGCTGTTACCTTGCACTAGCAGCCTTGTGCTGTGCATAACCTCTCCCTGTGGGCTGAAGGCTCGGCAGGTGTAGGCGCCTCGATCCTCCCGGGTGATGGATAGCACCGTCAAACTCCCATCAAACACCTGCACACATGAAGACTTTTGGATGCGACTCTAGTTATGGTTGTCACAGCCCTGTCTTGGATCTTGGCTGCCCTCCTGTGTGTCTGTAACTGTTTGATTTGTGCAGGCGGGGCTGGACTGCGGGGCTGGACTGCGGGGCTGGACTGCGGGGCTGGACTGCGGGGCTGGACTGCGGGGCTGGACTGCGGGGCTGGACTGCGGGGCTGGACTGCGGGGCTGGACTGCGGGGCTGGACTGCGGGGCTGGACTGCGGGGCTGGACTGCGGGGCTGGACTGCGGGGCTGGACTGCGGGGCTGGACTGCGGGGCTGGACTCTGCGGGGCTGGACTCTGTGCTGCTGGACTGCGGGGCTGGACTCTGTGCTGCTGGACTGTGGGGCTGGACTGTGGGGCTGGACTGCGGGGCCGGACTGCGGGGCCGGACTGCGGGGCCGGACTGCGGGGCCGGACTGCGGGGCCGGACTGCGGGGCCGGACTGCGGGGCCGGACTGCGGGGCTGGACTGCGGGGCTGGACTCTGTGCTGCTGGACTGCGGGGCTGGACTCTGTGCTGCTGGACTGCGGGGCTGGACTCTGTGCTGCTGGACTGTGCTGCTGGACTGTGGGGCTGGACTGTGGGGCTGGACTGCGGGGCCGGACTGCGGGGCCGGACTGCGGGGCCGGACTGCGGGGCCGGACTGCGGGGCCGGACTGCGGTGCCGGACTGCGGGGCCGGACTGCGGGGCCGGACTGCGGTGCCGGACTGCGGGGCCGGACTGCGGGGCCGGACTGCGGGGCCGGACTGTGGGGCCGGACTGTGGGGCCGGACTGTGCTGCTGGACTGCGGGGCTGGACTGCGGTGCCGGACTGCGGGGTTGGACTGTGGCGCTGGACTGTGGCTTTGGCAGGGGTCAAACATACTGTAAACTGTAAACTCCACTCTCTGGAGCTGGATCAATCGGCGCCCAGCATACCACCTGGGATTGTTTAACATTTTAATTTAACTTCACCATTCGACACAACTACAGAGCAAACACATCTCATTAGAACTATTGAAAAACCTTTGGACTAGGGCTGTGATCAAATAATTGCAACTAATTAATAATCTAGTAATCATTGTTTTCGGAATGTTACATAGACTTAAACATGTGGAGAAGATTTTTTCTATAACTAATGCAGAATGATGGTGTCATTAGACTGATTTTTTTATTTATCTTTGTGCTGAATACTGCATGTGTATGTCTTAATCAATATAAGTGTAAAACCTGATGTTTTTTTTATGAGTTTGGGATGTTTTTTGTGGTTGATACTGTTTTTGTTTGTATTATCGTATGTATTATATGGTAAAATAAAGCAAATTAATCCTTAACGTGATAAACAGGAAGGAAAGAATGTTAAGAAACGTTGTTTATGTTTTCATGTTAATGAATGTGGTTGACATCCAGGCCCACTTGTGTTGATATGTTGTATGTTCTACTGGGCCAAAGAGGTTCATCTTTAGCCCAAGGCCTGGGCTCTGTGAAGACTTTGTGTTAATGTTTAATTTAATTTAATTAATTTTAATCTTGTATAGCCCTAAATCACAACAGTAGTTATCTCAGAGGATTTAACAGAACCATTGAAATCACCAACACAGAGAATCAAACAGATCAAACTCAAAAAATATAGAACACATGGTAGTGGTCCATAGAAGGAGTTGATCAATGTCCATGAATGTTGATAATGTCCTGGATCACAGTCCTTTTTGTTAGACCCACTAACTGCCCAACAGACCCTCCTGCACCGGCAAGGAAAAACTCTAAAACCCAGTGGGAGAAAAGTGGGAAACCTCAGGGAGGTCCACATTGAGAGAGGCATCGGCTCCACACGGACGGACGGGCTGTAGATCCAAGACTCAAGATGCAGAACACGGACTACGGTCACGCGGAGCAGGATTCAGGTTGCAGAACGAGGACAGGTGCGGTGCAGGACCGGAGCAGCTCCCAGCAGCTCCCAGGCGGGGAAGGGGTGCAGCCCATAAGGCGGGTCGGGCAGGGCTCCCATCGTCGCGCCATGAAACAGACAATGGAACAATGGGGGAATAGCAATGAACAGAAGAATATTTTTTGCCGGAATCTATTTCAGATTGGCATTAACCCTTTAAGCACCAAAGTCGCAATATTGCGGCAAGCGACATTGCTAAATAAAATGTCTAATAAAAATCTATAAATGTGGTGCTGAATCTTGTTAATACTTTTCACCAGGAGTTTGTGGACATGTGTGCCTTTAATCTGAGCAGCATTTGTGGTGATACTAAAAGTTTTAGAGTAAAATTAGTTAGTATAATGTGTTTGTGAAACACCTGCGGCAGTAGCGAGGATAAACAACCGACGGCAGACATGGGAGAAAACACATCGCTAATCACGTTCACCGCCTTTAACAACGGCGATGATGATGAGGAAGGTAGTTCTTGAGAGAGAGGATCCAAAAAAGTGGATCAGAAATGTTGAAGAGCCTGTTGTTTATTGTGGAGACGATCTGACACATTCTGAGCCGTTCATTTCATCTCTCTGTTTCTAAACAATGAATTCTGGAGCCTCATTTCCACTGAGACAAATATTATAGCCTACGTTACAACTGTTACTGAGGACTCGCTGACGCCAGAATCAGATCGCTGCTGGTCAGACGGAGGCAAATGGAAGCAGCACTTGTGCCACAGTCAAACTCTCTCGACATAAAAAAATACTTTCAAATCCAATCTTCCTTAAATGCAACGGACCACCCTTGGATCAGTTTAATGCACAGAAGTGCAGCATCCACAACCTGTGAAGCCCAAAACAGGCTGCAGCCTTTTCTAGCTAAAATCTTTTGCACAGTATTTCTCATTTTTCAGTAGATCTTTCTATAGCTCAAACATATCCCTAAAGGAATGTATATACAGTAATGGATATATTATTTTCTATAAGGTTGTCTGTTCCTTCAGAGAAAGAGAAGTGCCTTCCCCTGCATTAAAAACATTCAACATTCCACTGGGCAAAAAAAAGGTTTTATTTGATCTTATTCTATTATCTTATTCTTTACTATTTTTATATAACTATTGTATTATCTTTTATCCTAAATAGAGGTTTTGCACCACCATGTGACCTACATAGCAACCGTCACTAGGCGGCCATGTTAGATGGAAGGTATGAAACTTTATACAGTCAGATTCAACACAGTGGCCGAGAGCTCACCTTTACTTAGGCTGATGGGAAAGTTTTGCTGCGTCTTTAATTGTGGTAAACGCTCAGAGCGAGACAAAGATGTCTATTTTTTTTAAATACCGCCCGTAATTTGCCATCAAGGAAAAGAAACTATCGAAAAAGCGACTGTAGCAATGGTTAGCAAGCTAGCATTTGTGACGATGCAGTTCAAAACGGGGAAATCAATAATGTGTTTGTCTGTTCTTGTCATTTTCACCTAAGTTAGTTGTTCTAATAAAAACATTGCGTTGGAGTAAAAAGTCTGTCAGTGACGTGCGGTTGGTGACTGAGGCACTGACTTCATCACCATCAGATTTAACGCTACATATCAACACGACATACAGAGGATTATTCACACATGGTCCGCATTGTTTGCTCAAAGAAAACACCAAAGTAAAAAGCACATTTTACGGTGTGGTATGGTCTTACCTTATATGAACTCCATTCACCACTTCATTCAGTTCAGACCATCATCTCATCTCATCTTCGCCTGTGGTCCCGTTTGGGACATAGGCCGCCGACCAGCTTCCTCCAGGCATCTCGGTTCTGGGCGAGTCTCTCCAGCTGCCCCCACGTCTTTCCCATCTGCTTGACATCTGCGTCCAGATCTCGGCGCCAGGTGTTTCTAGGTCGCCCTCTCTTCCTCTTTCCTTGAGGATTCCAGGTGAGAGATTGTCTAGTTATACTGGACGCGGACTTGCGGAGGGTGTGACCTATCCATCGCCAGCGTCTCTGAAGGATAGCTTCGTCAACGGGCTGCCGGTTCGTTTTCGTCCATAATTCTTCATTGGATATCTTTTCTGGCCATCGGATTTTGAGGATCTTCCTGAGGCAGGAGTTAATGAAGACCTGGATTCTCTTTATGGTGACCACAGTGGTTCTCCAGGTCTCTGCTCCATAGAGGAGTATTGGCTTCACGATGGTATTGAAGAGCCTGATCTTGGTGGTGATGCTAATTGTGCTGGATCCCCAGATATTCTTCAGCTGTTGGAAGGCTGTTTGCGCTTTACCGATGCGGGTTCTGACATCTTCATCCGTTCCCCCATATTTATCCAGGATGCTGCCGAGATATGTAAAGCTGTCTACCTCCTCCAGCGCCTCGCCTTGGACTGTGATGGGTGTGTTGTTGGATGCATTGATCTTAAACACCTTGCTCTTCCCTCTGTTGATGTGGAGGCCCAGTCTAGCGGAGTTGTTTGCTACCCTGCTGGTCTTTTCCTGCATCTGTTGATGGGTGTGGGAGAGAAGGGCCAAATCGTCAGCAAAGTCTAGATCATCTAACTGTTCCCAGAGTGTCCACTGGATTCCATTTCGCATCTGGTTCGTCGACGTCTTCATTACCCAGTCTATGGCCAGCAAGAATAGGCAAGGTGAGAGTAAGCAGCTTTACCTCACTCCGGTTCTCACTCCAAAGGCGTCAGTGAGCTGTCTGCCATGGACGATTCTACAGGTCATCCCTTCGTAAGATTTCCTGATGATGTTGGTGATCTTTTCTGGCACACCGTAGTGTCTCAGTAGTTTCCATAGGGATTGCCGGTCCACGCTGTCGAACGCTTTTTCGTAGTCGATGAAGTTGACGTACATGGGCGAATTCCATTCCAAGGATTGTTCCAGAATGATGCGCAGGGTTGCGATCTGGTCCGTGCACAATCTCTTTTCGGAAGCCGGCTTGTTGGTCACGGAGATGCGGGTCCACTGAGTCTTTCATTCGGTTCAGCAGGATGCGGTTAAACACTTTTCCTGGTATGGACAACAGCGTTATTCCCCTGTAGTTGGAGCATGAACTGAGGTCACCTTTCTTTGGGAGCTTGATGAGATATCCCTCTTTCCACTCTGCTGGTATCTCTTCTTCTTCCCATATCTTGATGAAGAGCGGGTAGAATAGCTCTACACAAGTATCGACGTCAGCCTTCAGCGCTTCTGCCGGTATGCTGTCGGGACCTGCAGACTTGCCGTTCTTCAATTGCTTGATGGCGCTGTGTATTTCTTCCTTCGTGGGTGCGTAGCACTTGATCGGAAGATCACTAGTGGCTGGCAGTATCTCCGGTGGGTTCTCAGGAGCTGGCCTGTTCAGTAGCTCCTGGAAGTGCTCGATCCACCTCTTTTTCTGCCCTTCGTCATCGGCTATCGTTCCTCCGTTCTTGTCCCTTACTGGTCTCTCCGGTTTGGCAAACTTCCCTGTGATTCTCTTGCTGATGGAATACAGATCCTTGGTTCTGTGATGGAGAGCTGCCTCCTCTGCCTCTGTTGCCAGTGCCTCTAAGTAGTTACGCTTGTCTGTTCTAATACTTCTTTTGACGTTCCTATTTGCTTCTGCGTACTCTTCTTGTGCTTTTGCCTTTCAGACCAGTTTCATGTTTAAGTCCAGATCAAAGTTTAGTATAGATATGTAATCCTCCGTTTACAATGTAGATTATGTAATCCTCCATTCGGAAATAAGATTCAAAAAGTAAAAAGAACAAATATGGGTGTCCCTCTTGTTTTGCTAGCTCCACGCTGCAGCCCCGAGTCTCGGGTGCGTCCAATCTGTTAAATCCACTTTATTATCCTTTTCTTATCATGCCTATCTCATTGGAAGCATATGATTGGTATGAGTGGCTTTTACATCTTTTCTATCTTAACATGTATTACATGTAAAGTACGTTAGCCAAACCTGTAGCTGCTCTCAGCAGAGGAAGAGCTACCAAAGAGGCTTTCTAGTGGAATTTGAAGTCTTTCTGACTGTTGCACTGAGCCAAAGCAATTTCCAAGTCTGTGACCTCCTGTTACTTACGTGGCAATAAAAATGATTCTGATTCTATTCAAATCACTCCCCTCTGGCACGAGGCTCCGGTCCATCTGGACCAGAACCTCCGTCATAAGAACATTTTCTTCCCTCTGCAGTTGGACTCATTAACACTTCACATCACTGTACCCTGCCCACATGACTCACTTCACTTTCCCTTTACTGCACTGCTAGATGGTAAAGATGAACCATCTTGTTTTCGAGTCGGTCCTCAGTAGCCAGACTCGTGCAGTTCGCTGAGCTTCACACAAGGTGCTTCAGAGCAGATTAATTTCAGAAGGCGGGGCCTTATTAAAAATTCCTGTGATTGGATAAATTACTTGTCTGATACATTGAATGACGTGTTCCTTCAACCACTCACATAAAAGCACAATATTCAGCACACAACTCCCATGGGTTGCCAAATGCTGGCAAGATTTTCCAGCGCAAAACCTGCGAGAATACCCCAAAAAAACGCCCAGAATGATTTTTTAGATAAAACTTAATGCAATCAACTTGGGCCATCATGATTCTGTTTATTGTCTTTCTGTTTATGTATTACCTACAAGTCTCTTGGAACAAAATTATGCAGGAAACCACCCAACCTGGCAACCCTGCTGTGTGGTGTTGTGACAGGAGCAATTAATCCAGTGCTTAAACCAAACTTTACACAAACATTTTACTCTTAAAAAACACATAACAGCATGGAACCATCAACATCTCGCCTCATACTGCATTAAAAGTGACATACGTGTCTTAATTCGTATTTTTAAAAAAAAGAAAAAAAAAAGAATTCATTCACAGACTTTATGTCCGCCATCTTGTTTTGCTTTGGCTGCCATGAGACAGGCACGAGAAGGCTGTGTAAATCTGACGTTACACCGGCCATCCTGATTGGTTGATCATTCTCTGATCTCCTGAAGGTGTTTGCATTGTGCTCGATCCCAGACCCTTGTGTTCAGCCAAACGCCTCTAGTGGAGCATGGTGGAACTACAAGGGTCTGGCGAGAGTAATAAAAATCAACAATTAATAACCCACACCAGCTCTCGATATTCCACCCTCCACCACCATTAAAGTATACAGAATATACAGCACATAACATTGGCATTAGCAAGTACAACAACTACCAAAAACACAGCAGAGATGGGTCAGATGGCAGATGTTATGAAGATCCATTTAAAGAGCATTTTTGAATGTTATAACAGAAGAACAACAAGGAGAATCTGGTCATTGTGATGCAGGCTGTATTGTGAGCTAAACAGCACCAAGTACTGCTTCAGGTACAGTGGATAATTAGAATGAATGAATTTAAAGATGAACTGTAGCCAGTGGAATTGCCCTCTAGCCTGAGGTGAAAGCCAGGACAGCTGTCTCTACATTGTACAGTGGTGTGTCCTATAGGGGCAGCAAAGGACAAAGAGACATAAACTATTATAAACCACATCGAGAAAGTGTAAACACGAGGAAGTAGAATTAAAGTTTATTATATCTGCGTAATCCAAAATTGGGAGCAACAATTGAGACACTATTCTTTTTCCAGCATGAAAGTTGAAGTAATTTACAGATTGGTATAGTGTTTTAAGACAAAAGTTTAATCATTAGTAATGGCTTGTGCAGCACTTTTCTTTAATATTGTAGACATAATTGTCCTTGTTTAAACACATACAGTTAATGTAACGGTGTTGTGTTGTCACCAGTGTGGGCGGGTCCCGGCTCAAAAGTGGCCAAAATGACGTGCGCTGACATGCTGCAATACCACCCCAGGCCTGTGGGGGTGGACCCAGAAGAAAAATTAGCCAATGCTAACATATAGCGTTGGCAGACCTCTCAAAAACGTCTTTACAGGATGGACCAAAAGTTGTCTCTTGGCCCAACGCTCCGTTCCACATGTGTGTCAATGCTGAGTGTTCTGGACCAGTCTAGTTTAGTCGCTGTGAATTTTTGAAGTCTCTCGTTCAAATGAATGGAGCTGCGCCGGCTGACGCATGTGCAGATGCGTTTTTTCGCGGCCATTTTGGATAGCTCCAGTAGAGCACATTTTTTGGCCCATTAGTTAGAACGGCGGAGATAGGCGTGACTCTGTCCGTTAATATATACAGTCTATGGTTGAAAAACATCAGTTCACAGGGAGCGTGACCCTTGGTCTATAACAGTGAAGATTTGTGAAAAAGCGGTTGTACTGAAGGAGTTGTCATTTTGATCAGCTGCTGTCTGTTTGTACTGTTTTTCCCGTTGTGTTCTCTGGAGACATTAAAGAGCTCATTTTTCAGAGTGGTGTGACACTTGCACATGTGCTTTATTGGAGAGATCAGTCTCCAGCCAGACCAAGACATTTCCATTTCTCAGTTGCCACAAGAGTAGAGGAGTCCAGAAAGTGTTTGAGTTCTTTTTCTGAAAGAGCATGGAGTAAGATTTAGATTTATTAAGGATGAGTTTATTGTCCAATAGCCATTGCTGTACCATTTTAAAATCATGTTGTAAAGAAACATTATTATCAGAAATAGTTGGTTTAGAGCAGTAGATAATTGTATCATCGGCACAGAGATGAATGTCAGGTCATATATTTGATAGAAAATAAAAAGATGAGCCTTGTGGAATACTTTTGTTAATGCCGGTGAAGTTCCACTGACTGCCCTTAAATGACACACATGGACAACGTTGATGGAGGTAAGAACTAAACCAGAGCAGAGAGGATCTACAGCAGACCAACAGCAAACAGTTTATCAAGCAGCAGATAAGGGTCAACTAAAGCAAAGGATTTTGTTAGGTCAAGAACAATATCACCAGTGCACATGTTGTTATCAAAGCTTTATAAAATGTCATTAGTAAATTGTATAAGAGGTAGTGGTAGTGGAAAAGGGCTTCCTGAAACATGGCTGGCATTACTACAAAATTACTACAAAACAGAAAGATCGACATTTGATTAAAGACTATGTAATTATTGATTATTGAGATGGGCCTGTACTTGTTCAAGTTTTGGCTACTGCTGCTTTTATGTAAAGGAATGACTCTTCACAGGTAGAAAAAGACAGATTAAATAACTCAGCCAGTGAGAGTGACAGAACATGAGAAGAAAGCTTGATGCATTTAACCTCACTGCCATCAGGGCCAGGTCCGCTGCTTGAGGACAGTTTACGAAAGACCTGAAAAACCTCGGCAGAAATAACTTGCTACTGCCAGGCTGAGCGTTTACAGTCCATCTTTCAGTGGTTCTGTTGGGTGTGTGTGATAAGAATCCAGGCATTTAGGACCAATTCTTGAAGGCTCTTTAATAATTTTCAGATTCAGATTCAGACTACTTTATTTATCCACCTAGGGGCAATTCATTTGAGCAGCACATAAGAAAATAAAACAAACAAAAAACCATAAAAACAAAGAAAAAAATATGTGATATGACATGAAGTGGAGCCCCAGACAAACATAATACAGCAATAAAGCTCAAACATTAAAGTCCACATCCAGCCACAGAGCGTTCAGGCTAAAGGTTGGTTTTACAACATGGTGCAACGTAACGTCCTGATGGAAGCAAAGTGAACTCATCATTCAGAACATGATCAGTGATTCAGAACCATCTGCTGCTTACAGAGCGGACCCTCTGTCCAACTCTAATGACTAATCTGAGAGAAATTGTAATCATTAAATAAATTATGCTCGGCTGGTGTAGATGGGTCAGTCCAGTTTGAAGCTGCACAAACTCACTCAATTTTTGAATGTGAGCGCTGGCCTCGCTCTTTCTGCTCGCCCTCCCCGCACTCACGGAGCAATCGCCCCCCACTACCCCCTCCCCCTCAGCCTGTGCTTATATGTGTTTATGGAGCTAGCGTCTCACAATATGGATCGCACATCTGAACGTGGCGTGACCACAGAATGATAGAACCGGGAAGCGCGGAGGAACGAGTCTTTCTTTTGGATGTTTCTCTGAGTAAGCAGTAACCGATAACGAAGACACGGGAAGTTTCAGGTTAGCCTCCGCCGCTTGTTTACCTCAGCTGTCTGTGCTAACCACAGACCTGTGGCTTTACTCAAGAAAGTGGGGGTCAGTGGTCCGCTGTGATTGGTCACAATCTGGACCCGAAACAAATTTTCTTCCTTGTTGCACAAAAACTCAATCTAAGATAAAATGACACGCCAGCACAAATCTGATCTACTTATTCTTCAAAAGGACGTGTATCCAAATGCACTGCATGGATATGGATTGGATTTAACTAATGAATACAAAAATAAAGTGAGGTAATGCAGCTTTAAGTTTAAATTCCCAGAAGATGAAATAGCGGCTAAAATGTTTCTCACAGACTTTTATTTTTCAGATGACGGGGTACAATACATACAGTATGTTGCCGATTATAATTCTTTTATTTGAATGTAGAGTAATTCTAAGAGCTCCGGTTTCACCTCCGGTACAAGCAACTCCCCCTCCCCTGGAACCTCTGCCTGCTCTAAAACAACAAAGTTATCAAGTTATCATTGAGCAGTCTGGTGTAACCCGTATTTAGTTAACACTTAACTGAAACGGCTTTAACATCCTAAAAGACTACTTTTATTTTGGGAGCCAACTTCCCCCAAAGGCGCCAGTCTCTTTAATCATCAGCTGTGCGCATCTCCCCCTTCCCGTCTCCGTTGTGGCTGCAGCGCTGACAGACGGCACATGAAAACTCTCTAATCGCGCAGTATTGAAACTTCATCATTAGAGCCGCCATGTTTTTCTAAGTAGCGGACCGTGAATTGTGTGTCGTATTTACCTTCAATTACTCAGGTCAGGCTTTTGTAACGGGATGGACCAACCCACTGACCCAATAAATGGCGAGCTAGACAACCACGCGGTAGGACAAACTGCTTTCCTACGGCCTTTTGTAGATTACATTTCTTTCTTAAAATCATAAATAATCACAGAACACTGAAAAGATAAAAATACAGTATAAAATCCCTCTGTTTCTCATCTTCAGGAAGATTGTTCCAGATTTTAGCAGCATGAATCTGAAAAGCAGCCTCCCCATGTTTAGTCCTGACTCTGGGCACTAACAGGAGTCCAGTCCCTGTGCTCCTCAGAGTCCCAGCAGGAGGCCAGTCCCTGTGCTCCTCAGAGTCCCAGCAGGAGTCCAGTCCCTGTGCTCCTCAGAGTTCCAGCAGGAGTCCAGTCCCAGTGCTCCTCAGAGTCCCAGCAGGAGTCCAGTTCCAGTGCTCCTCAGAGTCCGGGCCAGAGTCTACTTTTTTGTGCAATAATATTTCATTAATTGAACTTTTACAATACAATTCCTAATCTCGTACACATCGGTTGTCCTCTTTCACACCTCGGGCTGCTTGCCGATCCATCTTCTGCTCACAACACTACTATTTCTGTTGGTAGCCACTAGTCAGATCCCGCCTAGCCCTAGCTAGCATTACACTGAGGTACTTTCAGATACACATTTCCCATATTCTAATTATGTCTGGATTATTATAAGCAAGCCATGCTCTTAGATGGTCCATTTTGGGAAGTACAGCTGCAGATATTTAAGTGAATTGCATGTAGACCTTTACCCATAAGTTAGAATTGGCAAGTCATAGAAAACATACTCCCTTAAACATGATATATTTTGACTATTGCTAATGACTGAGGGGAGGTGACTTAGAGAGCAACCAACGCCCAACAGAAAATAAATACATACGAATTTAGAAAATATGACGTTTAAACAGACTACAAACCAGACAAACTGTCTTTGTCTGCTCCCCTCAGAATAATACCACTGAGATTTTCCCGGCACAATATGAAATAAAATAAAGAGATTTAAGACAAGGTGTAGCAATAGCATTAAAGATACTTAGCATTATTTTCTTTAACTTAATAACATTACAGGACCATACAGGTTTTACCATGTACTGTATGTCGTGGTTATGGGCCTATCTCAAAGTGGCCAAATGAAAGAAGTAGGGCTGTCAAACGATTAATTTTTTTAATCGAGTTAATTACAGCTTAAAAATTAATTAATCGTAATTAATCACATTTCAAACTATTGGCAAAATTATGCCATATTTTTCTGTAAATTGTTGTTTGAATGGAAAGATAAATGACAGCTTAGTGAACATATGTACTGTATTTGTTTGTTATAACAATAAATCCATATAAAATGGAATTAACATTATTAACATTCTGTCTTTCTGTTTAGACTCAGACCAAAACCATTATTTGTTACAGATGAGGGACATTTCAAAATAGTCTGAAGCAGAATGTCATTAAATCTGTTTGATTACTTTCTTTGGCACAACTAACATGAACTGATGGTCGAAAGAAAAATTAGGTACCTCAGCTTTAATTTAGCGAGTGCGCTTTGGGAGAAGACACGGAGGAGACTGAGGCTCCGCAGTCCAGCTTCAGCGCTGCACATATTGTGTGCATCGGTTACGGAAAGACACGTACGCACACTAGAGAATAGTTCTGTAATAGTTCTGTGCGTGGTCTTGGATATGATCCCATTACGCAGCGCCGTTCGCCGTGATCACAGCCGCTGGAAGTGGGACCTGCTGTCCAGAGCGCCGTGGCGCCCGCAGCTCATCATGCAGAGTTCATACAGGAAACAACAAGTGCCCCGCGGTCACGCGTGTATTCTTTCAAAACTTGGATTTCCCAGAGGGCCTACCTGCTCTGTCCCCATCTTACACACGCCCATGTGTCCGCGGCATTCTGAGTGTTATCATGGGACGCATGGGCATGCGTCAAATGCGTTAATTTTTTAAACGCGATTAATGAAAATAATTAATTAACGTGCGTTAACACCATAATTTTGACAGCCCTAGAAAGAAGACCAAAACAGCATAACGGAAGTCGATCTCCAAGCAAAAAATGAAAAAAAAAATCCCCTGAACGTTCCTTCTGAGTGACGTCAGACGCTATGGTAGATCGCCAAGCCGTACGTGCGGAAGAACTAACACTGACAGTGTGACATGTTAGTTCTGATCAGTCATCAGAAATATGCGGATCAAGAGAATTGATATACTTTATGGCTTCGATTGGATCCTCAAAAAGAGCTTGGTTGGCCCCATGGATCAGCTTAATGATGGCCGGATACAATAAGAAAGCTTGAAACCCCAAAGTGTGGGCCCGGTTCATGACAGGAAAGCACATTTGTCTGCGGCGAGCAGTAGCGTCACTGTAGTCAGAAGCTAAACGGACTGTCGGATCTACTAGTACCAGCGATTTTCTGGCCAATCTTATAATCCGGTCGCGATCAGTGAAACGAAGACAGTTCAATATCATTGTTCGAGAAGGATCAGTCGGTTTTTTACGCAGTGGTTCTACGCGGTGGGCCTGACATGAGCTCAGTGAGACCAGTGGCCAGCTCAGGAAATCCATTTGGGAAGAGAATCTGTCAGGTAAGACAACGCATCTTGTTCCACTCCTTTCAAATGAGTGATACAGAGATTGTTTCTCCTGCTTCCATTGAAGCCACTTTATCATGGAGCTTTTTCATAGATTCATTATGCTCATCAGTGAAGACTTCCACACACTTCCACTGAGCCTGAAAAGCTGTGGTTGTCTTGCGTTGGCAATCCAACTCCTTTGCATGGCTGTCAAGAGTTGTTTTAATTGAATCAAGTTGGTTTTCCAGACATTCAAAGCGATCTCTGGAGTGATTATCGGCTTCAGTAAAAAACCTTTGCAGAGCAGCTTCCAAAGACGTCATCATCAATTCACATGCAGAGTCAGCTTCCTTAACTTGAGAACTAGCCTGACCCTTAGACTGGTTTGGCTTCTTCGGAGGTATGGCCAGAGTCAATGGCATAACATGGAGTTATGGTGAAGGTTTGCAGCTTTTGAGGTCTCGATTTACTGTTTTAGAAACTCACATTCATTGATCAGGAAGAGCTGTGCGTTACCGTGCCTCTATTCCGCCATCTTGAGTGTGATAGCAGTAGTGAAAACATGTGTGAAGAGTAAAAAATGCTTACCATTTGTAAATCCCTGAGCTTCCACCATAAGGGGGGGTTGTTTTTTTTGTTTTGTTTTTTCCAATTTGAAATTTACCGGCTGTAAACAAACATTACCTTGTACTTGGCACTGTTGACTATGAGGTTGCCGTCTCGCAGCCAGCTGACGGAAGGTTTGGGATTGCCAAAGGCCGTGCAGGTCAGCGTGATGCTGCCCATTGCCTTGGCTTCCACGTATTGAGGAGGAGTCTCTGTGAAGGTGGGGGGAGCTGGGGAGAGACACACCAGACAAAATATGTGAAACTAGGGCTGGGAATCGCTGGGCAATCACTGCAATTGTCAAAATATTGCTGCTATAATTGTCCATTTCCATCCCTTCCAAAGGTGTGTTTATAGCTCATCTCTTGCATATGTGGTTATTATTTACATACAATTTACATTATTGAGGTGAAATCATGATTTTTAATGAATACCAACATTCAATCAGCTTTTTCAGCCATGAACATGAAAAAGAGAGGACGACTAAAATATGGGAAAAATACGTATGAAGGGTAATGCTTACCATCTGTAACTCCCTTTGCCACCAACATTGTTATTTACATACAATATACATTGAGGTTTTACGGCCACAGCTGTATGATACGTAAGGGATAACGTATATTACGCAGGTCATTATCGGAAAATAAGTACCGACAGGGCGAAGCGGACCCCGACGCGCGGAGGGGTCTGCTTCCGGCCTGAAGGTACTTATTTTCCGATAATGACCTGCGTAATATACGTTATCCCGCTTATTATACGGCTTTATACCAACAGAACACACAACATAAACTTCAGTCCACTTTTAGGAATGCCGAAAGGTTTATTTAATGACAGAAAATAAAATAGTTCCCAAAGGCTTTCCCGTGGCTACTGTATGCTAGCAACAGTTAGGCTGGCAACTTCCAAACTAGAACTCTCTGGAACTGTATGAAAACTGAACAAAGAATTCTGAACATCAGCGGTGAGTGACCCAAACATAAACCTAACCTAAATCCATAATTCCATCCTCTGCAAATGTTCCTAAAATGTGCCGGTCTCTTAAAATATGCCGGTATCTACTTCTGGGTTTTTCGGGATCGCCTTTTCTTGCAGTGTTTTTGTCATGAAAACGTAAACGGAAAATTCTGGAAACTTCCGTGCACTTGTATTAAGACTGGATATGTAAAAATTACTCTCCGATTAACATTTGATTGCGTTGATTGATTGGCATTTGCGTTTATTGAGCGGCCGGAACTACTTCCGGGTTTTTCACGATCGCTTTTTGACGCGGAGAAATAGTTTTTTTGTCATGAAGACAAGACCAGAAAATTCTGAAAATGTCCGTGCACGTGTGTGAAGAATGTATATGTATAAGTATTCTCCGATTAACATTTAAGTGTGTTGATTGAGCGTGGCTAGCTCCGGAGCGGCCGGAACTACTTGCGGAGTTATCCACGCATTTGAAAGACAAGCAGAGAGTGCGTTGCCAAAGGGCAGCGGCCATTATTGTTTTGAGAGGTCCGTTATAGAAAATAATGACCGGTAGAACGTTTTGAAATGACATTCAAATCAATGCTTCTCCTGCTGCTGTGAGGAGCCGTATAATAAACCGCTGTATGATACACCGCTGTATGATACACCGCTGTATGATACACCGCTGTATGATACACCGCTGTATGATACACCGCTGTATGATACACAGCTGTATGATACACAGCTGTATGATACACAGCTGTATGATACACAGCTGTATGATACACAGCTGTATGATACACAGCTGTATGATACACAGCTGTATGATACACAGCTGTATGATGCCCAGATGCCGCAACACACTTGTAAGTAATGTGTCGTCAATGACCACACTACACAGAACAACAAACACTACAGCGTGATAGAACGCTATATTCAGTGGGTGCGTTTGTAAATGTAATCTGCTGCTCTGAAAGTGCGCGAGCCCGAGCCCGGCCCGTGTCCGAGGTCATTATACGGTCATCGGCCCGAAGTCCGGCCCTCGGGTTGTCGGGGCCCTCGGGCCAAGGGCTCAAGTGCAGGGCTCTACTTCGGGCATTGCCCGGTACGCCCAATGGCCAGTCTCCCCCTGGTACCTGGTCAGCCTCTATTAGTTTTCAGACCTGGAGGGACAGTTTTTGGCTGAGCTCATAGCTCCTATTTTTCCCTAATTATCCCTAAGAGAGTTTTGTATAAGAGAATTAAATATTGTTCATTTGAACTAGTAAGTAAGTAAGTAAGCTTTATTTATATACCGCCTTTCACAGACCAGAGTCACAAAGCGGTTTACAATTGTTATTTTTTGGGCACTTGTCTCTCACTCCACACAGAGATGGGAGCGGGGTCGCCGAACAGGAGGCGCATGCCAGACCTATTGTACATATTTTTAGTGGTAGGGGAAACCGGAGTACCCGGAGGAAACTATTGAATATCTTCGTCTTCTTTTTGTGGTCAATTGCTGAATCACGTCCACAATATTAGGTAAGTAAAACTCAGGGAAGACTAAAAATCTTAGCGCTAGAGGATAGTGCTCAAGTATGGTAACTTGAGCTCCTACTTCCTACTTTATCTAAAACCCTACTTGGGATTTTAACTGTAGTCTATTGCAGTAATTACGGACGAACACAAGGCAGGAGTGTCTTTTCTTTTTTATTATAAGTTTGACTTCTCGCAGTGAGCACGATTCGTTGTTCATTCATTCACACACGTTCAAACCATCATTGATAAAAGGGGAGAGGGCTCCACCCACAACGGCCATTGGACTGGGAGGAGCGCGTCTCCTGCTGTGAGGTGCGCTCAATTTGAGCGCCTAGATGGTAGCGTGCGGCGTGTCTGGATAGCCGCAACATAGTCTGCTTATTGCTATTCACCCGTTATCCCATTGTCTGTTTCATGGCGCAACAACGTGACCTCTGAACCCAAATCAAACAATTAGTAAGTAAGTAATCTTTATTCATATAGAGCTCTTTACAGAACAAGGTCACGCTGTAACAATGTTCAGAGTTCAAATATGTTTCCATTCTCACCGTGATTACGGAAGCGAGATGCTGAACACACTGGCGCATCAAAGCCCCCAACCAACACTCAATACACTCAAAGCTTTACATAAGTGTAATGGTTTGGATAGTAGGAAATACCTATTGTGCATGTTTTTAGTAGAAGAGGAATCCTACTCAGAAAACCAGGATTCAAACCCAGGACGTTCTTGCTGAAAAGCGATAGTGCTATCGACTCCACCGTGCCACCCTTAGAGCACAGGAACTGCAGCATCTGCCCATGAATCTCCATTAATAATATATCTAAAAAGATGTTTAGATATTGATATTTAAACTAGATACAATATCGATTATTTATGTAGGAATAGATTTTTTACCTTTTTTATTAATTAAAACTCAAAAACACAGTGAGAAAAACCTCAGGGTGGCCCATAGTGAGTTCATGAATTACCATCAGTGACCTAAATGAAAGCAAATTCAAATGTAGAGAATTACATTCCTGAAGTGGATGACCTTAGTTACCTCAAGCTTTGGTCACAACAATAAGCGAATGTGCCTGTGCACACTGATGCCTGCAAGACATGGGTTAAAAGGTAATGCAATAAAAGGGGAGAAGAGTGAGAAGGGCTGATGTGGAGCCACTGCAGAACTCTGCTGCAGTAAAAAGGCATGGCTATTTTAAGAAGGGCAATGCCAGTGTAAGCCTTAGAGATATAAACCTTGAAACTTGGAGCCGATAACAGTGACTAATGGTCACTTCTATCAATGTGTGAGGATGACATAATTTACCTGATAATCATGTCTGTCTGTTTAAAAGTCATTTGAGTGCATGGAAAGTTCACAGGGCTGTAAGGGGGTGGAAATTGGCAGAGGTAAGGCCAGAGCATGATATAGCACTCTCTGGATACATCTATATGCATCTCAGCTGGGATCTATATGCATGGCTTCCTTTAACGCCAACGGGCAGACAGCTCGAGTGCTCAGAGTAATCACCGACAAGCACTGATCTTTGACAATGATAGCGGAGGTGGATTGCAAATGGGCGGCTATAAATAGACACCTTAATATTAAGCTGCTGTGTTGTCCTTGCGTATTTTTTTAATCCACACAAGTTATAGTATATTATAAGAAGGATACGGAGAAGGCGTTTGGTCTAACTGGCAGATATTCCCACATTTAACTGAAAGCAGATGTACAGTATTCCCCATGAAGATCACATTTACAGTTTAACAAATGAAAAATAAAAAACCCGAACTCACATTATGGCATCTTTTGTTATGTACGAAAGGCAGCATTGTCCAGCCAACACATGGATAGATTCTTTATTGATCCCCGTAGAAGAAATTCAGGACAGGTTTCTCTGCTCCAAGGTAAAATGCTGAATGCTTTCTTAGCCTTTAAAAAAAAAAAAAAAAGCATTCCTCCAGTGGATTTCTACTTGATCGGCTTGGTTGGGTCTGTGAATCCTCTCTGCTCTGGTCTGGATCAGTGCTAAACTATGAACACTGTACTGCAGCAACACTTATAGGTAGAAAAAAAGAAAGAAAATCAATCATTAAGCACAAAATAATAACCGTTTCAGAGCGACTTAGGACTTGCTGCCGTTTCCAGCGCATTCAAGAGTAAACCTGACTACAATTGTAATGTAATACATGTCACAGAAAGCAAATAGTCAAAGTGCACTTAAAAGTATATAGGTAAAATGGTTGGTCAATGATTGGACCGGGATTCGAACCTTCTTGCTGAGAAGCGAGACTGCTATCCGCTCAGTCACTGTGTCGTCCATAATGAATGACGTCATCACCTGGCTTCTATATACTTGTTTATATACTAGCTAATAAGAGAACAAGGTTTTTTAAGAGCCTGGATCACTTTATACAGGAAACAGAACCAGAAACATCTAATGGCCATGTTAACTGCTCAAATTATGATTAAAATGCCTCCTGGCTGTAATTTCAATGGAAAACAGAGCCTACACACCTCATGAAGCGACAACAATAGGCCGTGTGCATCTCTCTGCACGGCACACACAGTGGGGAACAGTCACAAGTATACTCTAGTATGCAACCTGTGGGGTCTGGGCCCTGAGTGGTGCATGTCCAGCTTTACCAAGTCTGTTTAAAGCAGCTAACGTTGGTTCTCTGAATTCAGTGAAACTAAAAGAGCATGAGCATTTTTATGCAGAGGTCAAAACTATTAACTATGATTTAACCTTCTTTATGCTTCCTTTGATGCTTTTTGTTTTTTTTCAAATAATTGTTTTAAAGTTTGGCTGGGACCCACCCTCTGCACTGGTTTGAAAGAATTTTTTTTTCTATTTTTTCATTTTGTCGTGATGCCTCAAACCCCGTCTAAATGTCTTCGGTGCCGTAGAAGGCACATGCACCTCATCATCCGACCCTTTATTGCTGGCTCTAGCTTTAGCCAATCAGCGCCAGGTTAACCTCAAGCCCCATCAGGAAGCTGTTCAGGGCCGAACAGAGTACCTAGCATGGAGGAGGTACTATATTGGTTCCTGTGAATGTTCGTGTAAAAGGCCCTGTGGGGGAGTTTCCTGCAGTGGAGACCTGGCACTGTCAAATTACCCCGAAATACTTGTGCAGACACAAGCTGCTGCGACTGACTTTGCTCTACAAGCTACACCTCTCATTTAACAACTCGCTGTGACACCTTCTCTTTGTTGTGCAGTGGGGCGTCCCCCAATTGTACAACATTACACATGCTTCAGTTGTAATTGTAGTAACTATGGTAACCAGAGTCCAAACTGCTAACGGTTCATTGAATCATGGAATCACCACTTTGAAGCCAAAACACATGTAAGAATTGCATGTATACCGGCAAAAAATATAATAAACAGCATCCCCTACAAAAGTCCATTTACATTGTGCCATCATTTTCACACAAATTTGCTCCCGTTTGCACAAAGTCTGATTTGCACACAATTTTTATCCATTTTGCAACTCCAGGGAGTAGGTCCTTTTAAAGGGAAATAATTGAAATTGGCCCATTAGCGCCCCCAACAGACTATGTCAAAGTTTAAAATGGGGGTAATCATATTTAGTTTTATCAAAATGTTTGATATTGTGCACATAATTCAGTTTTGGCCTCTGGATTCAAAAAGCAAATGAGACCAAATACTTATTTTTTACCCTGTTGCTGTGGTGACAACAAACGCTCCCCATTCTGTGTCAATGGCAAAATTGTTAAATCTCTGAAATGTACACCTCGCACAAAAATCAAACCGGCCTCGGCCGTTTCACTAATTTGGCTGAAAAACGCTCCACATCATCTAAACACATGGACCATTAATAGTAGATCATAGAATTTTAATTAGTCAAACGGTCTGCGCGCGACAGACTCCCAAAGTGTGGTTAGTTTCATAGAGAGGTGTGAAGTTCCCATGTTATCCAATGGAGACCGTATACTAAATGTTTGCACATACAAAGTCTGATTTACACTAAAGTTGACTCTGTTGTTCAACTCCTGGGCCTAGGTCACCTGCAAGTGAGAAAAATTACATTGGTCCACTAGCGCCCCCTACAGAGTGAGTTTAAGACAGTTACAGTTTCTGTGTGAGGAGTGACTCTGTGGAACAACTTTACAGATTCATTAAAAACATGTTCAAATCTGTTACATTTCAAAAAGCTGTTCAAGAAGGAAGTGCTGAAGAAGTATGTGGAGGAGTGAGGACTCAGCAGAGAGTGGAGGTGTGTGGTCAGAGAGTGTTTGGGCCTGTGTCGTGTCGGGTGTTGTGATTGTGTGTTGAATGAGTGAGGGGTTGGAGCCAAATAAGCGTCTGCTTCGTCCAGCCTCCTTTTCAAACATTTTATTTCTGTTTATTTTGTGTCTTGTTTTTGTTTTTTATTTGACTTTCATATTGTTTATATTGTTTTCTTTGCATAACATTCTGTTTGATCTCATTTTTGACCCACTGAGTATGCACAATGTTCCCATGTTAATCAATGGATCCACACAACTACTGACCGTAGGCATTCAAAATACACAGTGTCGCTCCAATCAGGCCTGTAGGGAGATGGCGGTGTGCAAGGGCCGTTTGATGCTGCTTGCGGCTTTAATTATTAGTATTATTGAACATAATATCATCATCATCGCCATCATCATCGTCATCATCATTATTATTGTGGCTTCTTACCGTTGACCGTCAGGTGCACCCAGCTCCCATTGTGGAAGGTGTCGTACTGCTGCTCCAACAAAAGCACCTTACATTCGTACCAGCCCTGGTCGTCTGAGCGCACCTTCTCTATCCGCAGGGACGACTTTCCATGCAGACTGGTCCTGCCTGAGAGAGAACGACAAGGAGTCAGCCTGTGGACATGCAGAGGTGAGAGCAGACAGCGCAGATAAGCTGGAACAAGGCCACTGCAGAAGCTTCAATGGGGAAGCTGGGGTAGCTCAAGAAGTGTTGGCACATCAGACCACAACATGCTGTCTTCAACTTAATAGAAAGGGATGGCGGACTTGGAAGAAAAATGTGCGTACTTGTGTGCAGTAGGCAAAGAACATGTAATGGTATCTAAATAAAAAAAGGATTATATAAAGGATCCCAATATTACTCAAATTAATGAAAAAATGAAATATATCTTATCAAATTGGAAGTCCACTATCTGGTCATGTGTAACTGCAGACCCTAAAAGATACCCAGCTCTAGATAAAATCCAACATGGTTTGGTTCTATTATGGAGATAATTCTGTTGTTTTAAAGCCAGGTACCCCAGCTTTAAGCCTGACTGGTCTAAAACGGCTTTCCTTGTCTCCAAGTCTAACGTCTATTTCAGAGATACATCAAGGCAAGGACAGGTCGCTTCTTTCACTGAGGACTGACAAGAAGGGACCCCTCGGTGACACAGCAGTCACTACCAATCATGGGTGATATTGCTTCGGACTCTGAGCGGTGGAGTCTGTAGGAGCTGCTTTTGACTTTTGCAGATCCAAAGCTGCAAGAGGGATTGATGTGATGGCAATACCAGCTGCATCATAACAGATGGTGACGGGCAATAAGGTCCAAACAAAAGGCTTTCAGGGAACACACGCCGGGTCAATACAGCAGCATTATCAAAACCTGGCTCGCTCTCATTAATCCTCTCACTCAGCTACAGCCCACACAGTTTGGGATACGCCTGAGTGTTTAGGAGAAGACAATAAAATAAAAACTTAAAATGTGAAACCCATATATGATATAGACTCATTATGACAAATGCCAAGCCTTAGTTTGTTTACATTTTGACAATCATAACTTAAAATATTTGATAATCAGGAGCTCAAAATATTTACATTTTCATATTCTGGGTTTGTAACAAGCTGTGAGCCTGAAGGTCATGGGTTCGATGCCCTCAGAGACTGTCTCCACATACTCCCCCTGATGAGTACTACCGTTGTGTCCTTGGGCAAGACACTTAACCCCACTTGGCCTGAAGCCCCCACTGAAAGGTCACAGACAGAGCAGCCATCCTCCTGTGGGTGCATCACCTCCAGGAGGAAGGGGAAGAAGATGGATAAGAAATAAGAGCTTGGTCTAAGTCACTTTGTGAGTAAAAAGTGAAAGCTATGCAGACACTTCACTCAGAAAGGCCCTGAAGCTCTGAAAGTGGCTACGAAGTGAGGGCCCGAGGATTGAGAAGTGAGACTGCAAACTACTCTGCCCAACACACATACAACTTATAAAAATGCACTCAAAAATTATAACTGTTATAATATTGTGGTTATTATGTAAACAACATTTTAAGGATTACTCTATAATGAAATTAATTCCAGATGACAGATGTGTGTATTCTTAAAGTGCAGATGAGCCCTTAAGGAAAAGAAAATCTTGTGCCATTTTCTGACCTTTGCATATTTATTCGTCACTTGTCACATTAAGCTTTGTATCCGACCCGTCATCAGTGTATGATGCATTCAGGATTGTAGGTTACTCATTACCAAAATTAAAAAAGACAAACCATGTTTTCTGTGTATGGTAAGTACGGTAAACTTTATTGATCCCTGTAGGAAATGTTGTCTTGTATTTGATCAACACGATGGAGGTCGATCTCATAACTACAGCTAATCATGGACCATTATACGGCGGAGTATTCCTGCATTAATTAAACTATTTATTGTTAAAATAGATATGTGATTATTCAAAGGTGAATTATTCAAGATCATGTTTAAAAATCTTGAATCCTTTGGGGAGCTACCTGAAAGGATGTGGTGAGCTATTAGTAGCTTCTGAGCCATAGGTTGGAGACCCCTGCACTAGAGCAGTGGTGGGGGACAGTGGAACACCTAAATAGACCTTAAATATTTTTGTTGCAATTAATTTGATTCAATACAACTACTTGTTTAAATTGTGTTAATTTTATCCCAGACATTACGAAATTACGACAGCGTCAATCAAAATCAAGTTATGTAGTTTACGTCATGCGCGGCGACAAAACGTGTCCTGCTGATGCTAACGCTAAAGGCTACAAACAAATAATACCTGCTTTAAAATGAAACGTGGTTAATATCCACAACAGGGAAACCCAGAGGGGGAGACAAGACACATGTGCCAGAGGTGAGGCCGACAGTGTGGAGGGAGCTTCTGAGAGGGCAGTGAGGGCAAGCTGCAAGAAATGCCCTCCACATCTGTTAAAGGGGAGCCCATAAAGAGTGACGCCGCATTGGCTGCTGGGGCACATTTTACCCGACGTATTGCTGACAACATAGACAGCCTAATCAAGACCAGTGTTCATTTTGTGGACAAAATATTATAGTCATATTTTTCCTCACAAATATAGTTTTGGGGATGAAAACAATATAGACTGGACTCCTGCTGGGGCTCAGAGGAGCACAGGGACTGGACTCCTGCTGGGACTCTGAGGAGCACAGGGACTGGACTCCTGCTGGGACTCTGAGGAGCACAGGGACTGGACTCCTGTTAGTGCCCAGAGTCAGAACTAAACATGGGGAGGCTGCTTTTCAGATTCATGCTGCTAAAATCTGGAACAGTCTTCCTGAAGATGTGAGACAGGCCTCCTCTCTGACAATGTTTAAAACCAGGTTAAAGATAGTTCTGTTTAGCTGTGCTACAACTGAGGGATTTTATATTTTTATCTTTTTAATGTACTGTGATTATTTATGCTTTACGCTAACCACACCACCACTGTTGCTAGCGCTAACCACAACACCACTGTTGCTAGCGCTAACCACAACACCACTGTTGTAAGCTTGTAAAGTATCTAACGGTGATGAAAAGAACAAGGACATGTCCACGAGTGGGAGAGAAAGAAGGAGATCTATGGGTCCTTTTCCATTTGACAAAGAAGAAAACAAGACGGCAATATGAAGCCCCGTGAAGCAATATGAAGCCCCGTAAAGCAATGTGAAGCCCTGTGAAGCAATGTGAAGCCCCGTAAAGCAATGTGAAGCCCTGTGAAGCAATGTGAAGCCCCGTAAAGCAATGTGAAGCCCCGTAAAGCAATGTGAAGCCCTGTGAAGCAATGTGAAGCCCCGTAAAGCAATGTGAAGCCCCGTGAAGCAATATGAAGCCCTGTGAAGCAATATGAAGCCCCGTGAAGCAATGTGAAGCCCTGTGAAGCAATGTGAAGCCCCGTAAAGCAATGTGAAGCCCTGTGAAGCAATGTGAAGCCCCGTAAAGCAATGTGAAGCCCCGTGAAGCAATATGAAGCCCCGTGAAGCAATATGAAGCCCCGTGAAGCAATATGAAGCCCCGTAAAGCAATGTGAAGCCCTGTGAAGCAATGTGAAGCCCCGTAAAGCAATGTGAAGCCCCGTGAAGCAATATGAAGCCCTGTGAAGCAATATGAAGCCCCGTAAAGCAATAAATATGAAGCCCTGTGAAGCAATATGAAGCCCCGTGAAGCAATGTGAAGCCCCGTAAAGCAATGTGAAGCCCCGTGAAGCAATATGAAGCCCCATAAAGCAATGTGAAGCCCCGTGAAGCAATATGAAGCCCCGTGAAGCAATATGAAGCCCCGCGAAGCAATATGAAGCCCCGTGAAGCAATATGAAGCCCCGTGAAGCATTAAGAAGCCCCGTGAAGCAATATGAAGCCCCGTGAAGCAATATGAAGCCCCGTGAAGCAATATGAAGCCCCGTGAAGCATTAAGAAGCCCCGTGAAGAGGCATCGCAGCATTAACATGGCTGTAAGCTTTGTTCTACCGCCATCATGTGGACAAACAATTTAAAACACTCTTATGTGCCTACAATAAATGGTGCCTCTGAGACATCTACAGTTGATCTTAGGGATGTACCGAATCCAGGATTCGGGTTCGGATTCAGACGAATATTGGCTTTTTTGACGGGGTTCGGTTTCTGGTCAAACCTTAGAATTTTTCCCCACCGAACCCGAACCCTGCACTTACACTATGCGCGCTGTGGCTGTTGGATTCGTCACGGAAATCAGATTTGTTCGGAAGTGTAAATAAACATGCACTTTAGCGGAGGTTTATATCCTCTTGCTCTCTGTTCCTCTTCGGGTGCGCTGAGGTCTCTTCCTGGTCATGTGATCCCCGCGGACCAATTAGCTCTAGTTATAAGTCGGTGCAAGGGGATGTTATGATTCTTGTTTTCACCTGTAATGCGGTTCTGATGGATCATAAACTAACTGCCTACTCACCAACTTTATGGAGCCGATTACCGGTGCCAGGTACTTGTCATCTGAGCTGCGTATGACTGTGGAAGCAGAGTTGGTGAGTCCATGTTTAGGCAACTAGCCTCTTAGCATTAGCTTCTCTCCAACTTGTCTCTATGAGTTTGGCATATTTCTCAAATGTCCATATATGTAATGTTTTGACCTGAACCAGTGGAAGCTATTTATGCATGTATGGTGCTTTAGCTCTTATTTCTACATGACATGCACAGTAATATATGTACTTCATCTCTGAAGTTTTACACTGCTGTGAACTGAATGTATTTGTGTTTAATGATAAGCGGGATTATTATAAATGTTATAATAATAGATTCTGGTCGAGCTACATGTCCAATTTGCAATGCCCATTTGTCTCGTGGTGGTAAGGACCCTAAACGGTACACAACACCGCCGCTGTTAAAACATTTGCATATGAAACATAAATGAACTGAGGATGGAATAGGATTCAGTATTCGGGTTCGGATTCGGCAGAATCTTAACCAGTGGATTCGGTATTCGGCCGAACCCCAAAAACCTGGATTCGTTGATCTACAATGATATCATATAAAAACAAGATTGCTCCAAAGTAAAGTAAAGCAAAAGCTACTAGAGTTTGTCTTCGTATGCTTCAAGTTGTTGTACTTTAGTGACATAAATACAGTTTAGTAATA